ATTCTTCAGTGAATTTAACGTATTACTAGTTGTTACTCTGAAGTCACTAAAATAACGTGCAAACTCATTATAGAGATACCTAAAAAGGTAAAATAAAGGTTGCCAGCTCCTAAAGGTATCTGCTGGGATGAGCCATGTGGACTGGGATGAGATCAGACTTTGCCAGCTCTGCCATGACTTTTTGCCCACTGTGCCATGTGCAGTGCCATAATCTGTTACACAGCAAGACGCTGACTGCAAGTCAAGAGGCGTCCATGCAGCTTTTGGCACATAGGCCTCCTAATGAAATTACATGCACAGGGTGATGTGAAAGGGCTCCCTGCACAATGATTACATTTGTGCGCTCTTAAAATAGTTCTAGTTTTCACTGAGCTCTGGATTCTTAAGTGATGTTACTCTCTGACACAGCACTTTTTCCTGAGCAGCACATTCCTTTGTTATATAACTCTGGATTTCCTGGACACGAAGGATTGCATTGGCTCACGTGACAAAACCTTTCCCTCATCAGCAGATTTATAATGAACCCTCTTCCACCGTGTGGAACAGGTGCTCGGTAAGTTGCCCGGTCTAAATGGGATGTTGGACTGCCTGCATGAACCGACAGCACAAAGTGTGTCATTAGTCATGCCATCTGCTGTGTTTGTGGAGAAGCACAGGCCTGCCACCATGCAAACGGGCGGTGACACGGAGCAGGGCATGGAGCAAAAGAACCCCCTTCAAAGCCTGCTTTCAGTTTACAGCATGCTCCTCATTTGGAGAAGATTTTCCAATGTTGTTTAAAATGATTTGTATTATTACATAGAAAATACAATCAATTGAGTGTTAGTGGACTGGTGACAGTGTTTGAATACCTTTACATGTCTGAACTTGAATACTCTTGCTGCTATATCAGCAATTACAGTTGTAGATTTTTGATTAACCTGATTTAAATGCCTTTGAGATGCTCTCAGAGCCAGTTAAGATATCCTTTACTATTTATTTAGCAAATTTAAAAGAAAACTGAGATTGATCACAGTTTTACATCATACTTTACTAGAGTCGAGATCGTTTATCTTTGAGGGAATAAATATTTTTTGTATTTCTCCTTTGCTTGTTCGTAACCATTTAGAAAAAGATAGGCTATCTATTTTGTATCTGTCAGGATCCATGTTAGCTGCTGGAATATATCTTTTCACGGCCTTAAAGAGACCCCTGTCTTCTTTTTCTTTAGCTAATAGCCAAAGGAACACACCCGTGCTTTCTCTCTCATCTCTTTCCTGGCAAGAATGTAGTGCACCTGCAGTGTTAGTTAGCCCAGAGCTAATGCAAATGATTCTGTCTGATCAAAGGCTTGATTAGACTGCTTTTTGTGTATGACATGGCATATTAATGAATCTGTTCAAGTGGTATTAATGGAATATATTGAAAGTTCCCCGGAGAGGTAAATATGTTTTGACACAGCCTTTGAACATTCATTGTGAGTTCTTAATGTACGTGTGCTGATGAAGTTTGAACAGGGAGCTGCAGACAAAGTAGTCTGACAGTAGGCGAAGTGCCCCAGAGGCTTCAGCTGACTGGATGACCTTAACCTACTTGGCTAACTAGCTCAATATGCATACTGCTGTGTGCTCTCTCTCAGTACTCAGTGGGCAAACAGCCTTAAACATCAATGCATTAGAGCAGCCAAAGGCACACTAATTATTCAGCCAAGGCTGGGAATGACTGAGCTTCACCAACAAGATAAATGGTGTCTTTGTTTCTCCGGTTCCCCCAGGTGAAGTTGTTCCATAGTCCTACTTGAGACTTATATAGTCTGATGTGTGCCAGGTCAACCTCCACCTCTTTCACTCCCTGCTTCAAAGGTAGCCGCAGGGAGACCTCAGGGCTGAGATTTAGATGAAAAAATTAAAAAAGACACTGTTTGAGTTGCTAGACATTAAAAAGTCATACGCCATTATACCGTTTTTCTTCCGTTTTTTTTTTTTGGGGGGGGGGGGGTTGAATGTGGAGTGAACATGTAACATCCGCTTTCCTAATGCAATTTACAAAGATGCTGTGATTATCTGCCATCCAAGCTGAGTGTCAGCTTTGGCCGCACATTATTATTATTTTGCAGCTGGTCTTCTGACATGGGCGTGAAACACCCGCTCCTCCCTGGTAGTTAACCGGAAAGATATCACAATGGAAAAACGGTATCACCCAACCAAAAGATTGCAAAAGATTATAGGTCTCTGAATCATTCCATTGTCATTATCAGCAGCGTGCAGAAGATTGTTTAAATGACTTTTTTTTATCAAAAAGCTGACTTAATGCCTCAGAGAATAGACCAACTCTTGCAGGCAAAAGGCACAAAGTGAGCTCTGTATCAGCAAGACTGTTGGGATACCAAGCAGGCCACTGTTTTTATCTCTACATAACCATCAAATCAATAGGGGGTGAAAAGGTGCCGCAAAGCAGATTTCATCCATATGTAAAAATGAAGAAAGCAAACCATTTTTCCATCTGCAGCTCTCCAGTTATTGTTAGAATATCCTTCATCTTCAGACTTGGCAATGTTCTTGCTTCTCATAGTTACCAAGGACCAACTGAAAACCCGACTCTTTCAACAAAGAATGCATTCCCATCCTAAGGACTCACGTTCACACTGGATGTTGTTTTGTTTTTCCTCACCATAAAACTCTGGATAAACTCTGGAGACGGCCTTGAAAATCCCAGCTGATCAGCAGTTTCCATAATACAGAAACAGGATCCTGTCACACTCACTCTGATCATGTATTGTCCCTAACGACACTCAATGTGAATGTCGACTCCTCATCCCGCATGATTTTAAGCACCTTTTCTACAAACAGATGATGATTGATCTTTTTTTTTTTAAAGCCGATACTTGGTTTAAATTTGTTCCAGTGCACAGGAGTTAGATATAATAAGCAGGGGAAAATGGTTAGTGCTTTCTGCAGTACATTTTGTCACCTACTTTTTCTACAAGCTCGGCCGTGTTTCACAAAAGAGTCTTGTATTGGTTTGAGGAGCACATTTAACTTGTGTGGCTCAGGATATAATGTGATCCTCGGCATTCCCAGAGCCCAGAAAACAGGTTCTGTCTCATTCTGTACACATACCGTTACCTGAGATGTCAGTGAAGGTTACTGGAAGGAGAATTTATCTGATTATGTGTTCACAATACCACGAGCTATTATGCAATTTCTGAATCTGAGACAAAAATGTCCTGTTAAAAACAAAAACGCAGGCCTGAATCGGCGAAAGTAATTGCGTTCATAAGATCTAAAAAGAGTTGTTATTTGTTGGATCTATTTAATCTATTGCAGTATAGTATAATGGAAAATTGATCTACACTGTACTGAACTGTTTCTTTGTTTTTATTTGTGGGGCATGGAAACTAATTGTGTGGCGTTAATGTTTGGTGAAAAATAACCACGTTAAAATAATTGTGTTCTTATACAGAACAACGTCTGTACATAAACCATTTCCAGCGTTGTAGAAATATTTTATTTCCCCTTAAACAGATCAAAGTAAATGAGTTATAGTGGGTTATGTTGAAACGTGTAAAACACTGCGGGAGTGTTCAGTAACTTGAGTGCTGAGTCAAAATTCTTTTCAATGTCTTTGTGACATGGTCTTGACCTCTGAGCTGCCCCTTTAGTCAGACTTAACCTCAGGTCTCGAGTCTGTTCAGTCCATTGGAAGAAATTAGTGAACTTTAGCCCAGAGTCCAACTACTGCTATCATAGCGAAGTCCCCTACATGGCCCCGTTTACACATTCTGAGAATGTATAGACAATTCTTAGAACGACAAATCAGCAAATCAGGCAGCTGCTTCGAAACCAGTCTGTGTCTGAGCTGCACCCTTTATAAAATCTGGTAACCCGTCATAAGATTATGGAAATGTAACCTAGATGCATGAAAATTTCCACAATTTCTCATTGCCTTGATACCACAACACATTAGAATCATACATAAAACATTCAGGTTTGCTTTCATCGATCCACATTCACAACTCTGTAGCAGCATGACCTTTTTGGATTTTGGAATTTTACACCATTTCATCCCATTAGGACAGTACAGACTAACAAGGCCGAAAGGTTTCCTGTTTTTCCCCTGTGGGGGCTATATTTCCTCTTCTAAATAAGCCATGGTGTTGCCACATTACAGGTGCTATCTTTCCCTGTAGCACCTCCTTGGTGCAGGTGTAAGCAGAGCAGTCTGTGGATGTGTGCGAATAAACATCTACTCACAAACATGCCAACTGACAGCGCCTGGCTTTTTGTTAGTAAAGTATGTACTGATTTGTAATTTGCATCGGGGAGCTTTCAGCTGGAAGTGTTATTTGGCTAAACAGGTCAGATTTAGGTGTGTTGGTTAGGAAACTGCAGCTTCAGTCGCCAAATTTTTGTATTTAATTTCTAACCCTAGATTACACTAAGCAGAGATTCCCTGATCAGGCTTTCCAAAATGTTTCCTCCACCATCACAGTTCTGCCTTTGACTTGATTTTCCTATTATGTGCCCTCGTTATCCTTGCCTTTTAATCTCGGTGCAGAGATAAGTGGTCTGGATCTTTCTCACGTTGTTCATCATTCCAACGCTCCCCGGGAGCTGGGCAGCTTCTGAGAGTATTCCAGGCTGCCATGTGGTACAGGGAGAGCTGCAACAGAAGGTGAAGCTTAATTGCCGTTACTTTGCCAGGACTCCTCCTGCCCTATATTTGATTATTCAGAACAGGCCCACCTCAAGACGTGTAAGAATAGCTAATGGAGGCTTTGTTTTACCCAAAGCGCTGGGCATTGTCTGAGCTGGTGCTTTATCTGTTCACAGCTCTGTGCCACTGAGCAAACCATTTCTCTGTGGTGCTTTTTGCTTGGTTTCTAATTGTGCTTGTGCCGGTATCCTTTGAAATAAATACTTTACACTGCTCACATTTCTTTTTCTGCTGTAGGTTTTGAGATTCTAGATTTTCTGAGCATATCTTTAACGTTCATTAACGCTTTTTCCCTTCTTCCACAGACATCATTGACAAGGCTGAACTGAAGGCATTCTTTGAGAGCAACTGCTCCCAGATTTATTTTATCTTCTATGAAAATCTCATTACACTGGAAAGCAATTTAAAGCAAAAAGGTAAGCATAAACCTCATTTGACATACATGGTTCTGTGTAATATAGATCGGCACGCTTTCTGACCAGGTGCAGTAATGTCTGGAATGAACATTCATCCTGCGCCACATTTTCACATCAGTGAGCTTAAGCCCTTTGACTTTTCAGTCAAAGTCAGTTATACAATGTCTTGTGTAACTTTGGGTATTGAGCGTGCCAACCCTCAAGTGTGTGGGTTAATTCCCACTAGGGGGGTGCCCTAATGACAGGAGTTCCTTTGAGCAACTTTACATGAAACAGCCCATGTTATTGTTGTGTATTTGATGAGGCCACTGTGGCAGATCTTGAGGTTATGTGCTTTGAAAATATAAGTACTACAGAGTGCTTTTTTGTATTTCAGGGAACAAATCTCAAAGGGAGGAGCTGGACTCTATCCTCTTTATTTTTGAAGTAAGTTATATGTCATTTTCTGTGCTGATGTGTGTGATTCACTGACAGCCGCCGCAGCTGAATTCTGTCCAGGGATCGTAGTTTGCAGAGTGCTTTCCTGAAACCCTTGTTACTTCTTGAATTGGCCTAAGAAAGTCGAGAAATCCAAAAGCAATTGTCCAGATGAGAAAAAAAATGCTAGTCCAAATTTAAGAGGGTACATCGTCTGTATATATCAGACTTTCTGGGGTCTGCAGGTTAAACTCCCTTACCTTGTTTTGCCACCTGACAGCAAAGGAAGCTCGAGTTTCCAATGCAAACACTCAGCTCTCCGGTTTCATTTGCCAAGGGCCGGTCTGTAATGATAGCAGTCTGTATCTCTCTTCTTGTCAAGGATGTTTTGCAATTTCAGTTTTTTCCCCAAGTCAGTGCAAAAGTGTTCCTTAACTCTAGTTTAACACTGAGTATCACTACTGCAAGAGAATGTTTTCCACTGCAGATTGTAAGTTAGTTTCATGCCAAAATGAATATTTTCATCAAGATGGATGTTTAGAAGAAACAAAAAAAGTGCATCATTTCTGTTCTCTTGTATCCTCTCCCAGCCAAAAACCCAGCCTTCCTGTCCTCACACATCCAGTCATCTGACCTGTAAATAAATTCTGGATTTTAACCTCCTCCATATTTATGGACTCCTCTTTTCAGAAAGAACTAATATTGAAAGCAGCTTAACCCTCATTTGTCCCCTTTTAGCCCCTGCCTGTGACAACGTGTGCTTTTACCCGTGTGCTGAGTAGATAAGCTCGCTTTGAGTGGTGTGTACAGGACAGATAGAGTTTCTTTGATCCTGACTTCTGGTACACTGTGGTCTTTTTCGTTACACCTTATTAGGTTAGGCATTTTACTTTGAATGTGCTCATGAATTTGATATCAATGGTCGCATTTGTGCTCTCAGACAAGCGCTACTAATGTATTAGGTTATATCAAAAGTGATATTATGTCAGACAAGGACCCAGTAAATGGAGGAAAACATGGCACAAAAAAAATATACTTGGAGACAAGTGAAATATGAATCTAATTTACACCTTTTTGTTAGCAGTTGTTTGCATTGTATGTTGAAGATAAATTGGTATAATGTGTATCATCATTTTCAGGAATAGGAATGAAGGCATAAGCCTTTAAAGCCTTTGTCTAGCTTTGCTCAGACCAGCATAGAGTGGCCTATAAATGGATCACGTCTGTGACAAAAGCCATTTGGCAGCGTGCTGCTACGCGGCTCACTTTAATTCTATATGACAGGTTAAGAAGAATAACACAGCTCAATGTCGCCCCTCTTGTTATTCTTTTGTAAGAATTTCCATGGAAAGCCACAGTGCACATCTTATCAGGCAGTTGACAAACCTCATCTCTGTGCTCTCCATCACCTCAGTCCTCCCTTTGCATTCAAATCCGTCTGTCGTGTACAGTACATTTATTCATATGAGCAGGCACCGTGGGGATTACATTTCAGTCCCCGATGAGGTATGTGACCCCTTTTTCAATGGGAGGAGGAGGAGGGTGGGCAGGGCGGAGGTTATGGTTGTCCATGCTGATCCTTGATATCTTGAAGGGGTAATCTTTTGTCCCTGTGTATGAGCACTATTGGAACATCCACCCCCACCCTACCAGCAGCCGTCACTGTGCCTTTTCAGGATTTCTTTGTGTCTGCTGCCACAGAGGCATCCACCACAGCAGAACTGACAGATTAGAGACCTGATCTTTGTGAGAATTCAGCCATAAATGGAACAGGGAACCCTCTTTTCAACTCTGTCAATACCTTTTCTTATGATATTTCTTTAAATTTGACATGTTTGGTGTCATAAAAAAGATAAATACATTTAAAAAATGTGAATCGTCGCTTCACATTTCATGTATCACATTTTCCTCATTTTGAAGCCCAAAACCTTGGCCTAGAAACAAAAGAACTATCTTGCGACAATAATCAGGAGACCCTGCAATAGTTTCCCCAGTTTGAAACTCTGTATACAACAACAACATAAATGAATTACAGTCTACATCACAAAATGTGTTTTGGGTCCAACAACACATTAGAGCAGACCTGCATTTATCAAGTCATGACTCATGTTTCCTTCTGCAAACAGGGCTCAGATAGTCAAAGTGAGATAAGGTTTAATGCTGCGATTTGACTGAGGTGTTTAATTTGTCTTTGGAGGTTAATTCTACATTTTATTGTTCTCAGAATCTGATTTGTTGCACTTAGGCTGTTTTCTAATGTGCATCCTAAAATTAGGAACGTCTACCAAAATGAACAAACAAACACCAACCGTAAATGCGAGAGCACATTCTGTCTTTATTAGACTCTTTTTGCTTTCTTAAGACCAGATTTAGTATCTGAATGTACGTTGATGGCTTCTTAATGTCTGGGGGGAATTTGATCTTGGTGACATTGAGGCTGTGGGACAGGTCAAGAATAAGCATTGGGACCAAGAAAATAGTCGTTGCATATCCACTTTCTCTCCAGGATATGGCCTTGCCATGACCTTTTGTCTGCCATCCGGACCTGACTCAGCTTTCTGAATTCCCCTTACCATTCTGTCTGTAATTCCCCCCTCTACTTAGAGATGAGGCTTCTTTTCAATTTGACATATTTTCCGAGTTCATCTTTTGATTTTCGGGAGGCGGTAACCCGTCATTTTATGGGTCAAAATCTTATCTTTTAACCAACTTCCACAAGTATTTGATTTTGGAAAGATGTCTTTTGGACCATCTGCTCAGGCTACCTAGCTTTTCTTTTAACTTTAGCTTACAGCAAAAGGTGTGTAGTAGTAGTAATGTAGTCTCTGAAACATCATAAGTTATCTACCTTAAGGTCAATACACAGAGCCACCTTGGGTTTGTTAGTCTAGATCTTAATTTAAATCTTGTAACATTATAGCAGAATAAGAGGGATGATATAATGACAATGTTAAAAAATTGCACCAGTCACACTTGAAATTGTTGAAAACAATATGTAATTAATAACAATGGAAGTGTATTATGTCTGTTAATTCTAGTTTTTTTTCTGTTGAGATTAATAGGAACCGTCATTTTTATTACTCATACATAATGGTTGCAATTATCTCAGCTAACAGCACTCAGGCGATTATGTAATAATTATGACAAGCCTGAGGCTGTGTATGTAAATGGTATGAAATTACATAATTTTGTCCCAGATAAGTGTGACACATTTGTCTGGAGGAGCCTTCTTTTCTTTGGCATTGCATCAAGTTTAATAATAGAGCTTTTCCATTTTTCCAACATTTTAACCAGCGATTTCTTTTTCATTCCTTTCAATGCAGTTCTTACTGTCGGCTTACTAGCATGGGATTTTGGATATTGCATGATGCAAGTTTAATAAATGTAGCTCGGCTCATTAAATTGCATCAAACGATGAGTCTGCCACACATTTCAGGGAGACACTTATCTTCCCGTCACTTGTGGGTTCCATTTAGTTCTGAACTTTTAATGGATGTGTGAATGGAGAAAGTTCAATAAAAATAAAAAATAAAAAGAACATTTAGACGAGCTCCCTCTTTGCGGAACATTGTAAGGCTTTAAAGAATTGGAAGGTTGTTGTTTCTGAATCCCATCAGCAGTGAGGTTTTAATGATGGCTGAGAGGAGCTGAGGAAGGACTGTGATTGTTTTCTGCTGCTGCCACCCTCTGGCCTTAAAGGGGAATGAAAACATCTTTGTTATGCAGCTCATTTTCATGGTTAATTGCAAATAAGAATGATGTGTCTGGCTTAGTGCTTTTTCCACCGCACTATTGACTTTTTCCTCTGATCTATTGTTTATATGTCTAAAATTGCATGTGCTTTTGCTTGATGTCAATAGATTAGTGCACTGTGTCTTTGGCATTTTAACTTTGAGTTGTTGTTGTCCTTAGATGATTTACTCATCTTCATGTTGTCAAAACCCCTGTCAAAACACTGTTCCAATTACAAATTTCGATATTGCATGTCTGTTGCAGTCATCGAAAAGCCCTTGTGGACCACCTCTGTGAGCAGTATATTCTATCTCATGCTCAGGCTCTGCCACTGGAAACCTAAGTGCGGATCATGTAAATGTGTTAAGGCAGCAGTTGTGGCACAATAATGCCCCTATCTTTATGCTGGAGTATGACTGCAGATTAGAGTAACTCCTCCAGCCTCCAGCCCAACAGACTTTGCATTCGCCTCATATCAGCCAGTAAATTCCTCATTGCTGCTGCCTCCATTCCCTCTCCGCGGGGAGTTTTTCCAAGCTAGCTTCTCCATCTCATTCCCGCCCTCCTTTCTTGATGCCCCGTAAGAAGAAAGACAATGTTATTGTCTCTGTACTCGCGCACAAGCGTAGACACAGAGAAAGGCTTAAGAAGGCTACCCTGCTGGGTTACCGCCTAGCATAATATCTCTGCTGCCCCAAGGAGACAGAGTGAAGGAGGCCAGAGCAAAACCAGTACAGAGATGTAATAATCCCTTGGGGGATCAATACCGGGGAGCAGCCACATGCCTGTCCTTGCATATCATCACGTCTGTGGATCAGAGAGAAGTTGAACAGCACAGATTGTCATCCTGCGGATCCCTGAAGTGATTTATGCCTTTCAGTATCTCTGCTGTCACTGATAATGACAGGGACATAGTCTCAGAGGGCCAGACGGAAAAGTTAAAGATGCCGGACGATGAGGCACGAAGTAAGTTGTTGACTAAACGAAACTGTCAAAACATGAAATGACTTCTGGGCCACCACATCTCTTAGGAAAATATGCCAAAGAACGAGACAAAGGGGTGATTTCACATCTCATCCATCATACCAGCTTAATCACACGAGTGTTTTCTACACAGATAGAATAATTTGTGTTTGTAAAATAAATAAATAGATAAATGAATCAAATAAACGTGACAGGAACTTAACCTTAAACAAGTTTCTTAAACGCTCTGTATCTTTCGCCTGCCTCACTCTTCAGGGCAGAGGAGCTTTTTATTATGCCAACCAGCTTTGGGTGTCTGCTTGAGTGGGTCAGAGCTGCATACGTAAAGCAGTAAAAGACAGGCTTGACCTCTACATTGCAATCATGAAGTCTTATTGGGTCAGTGATTAGGCTCTGATGAGAAGTGAGCCATTGGGGCATAAGTTGTTCACAGTGAGCTGACTATTAACTAGCCAGGCATGCACAGACACACATCTTTTCCAGCCTCTCAAGAAGGACCCAGTTAACCTGTTGCTGCATTCAGGAATAATGATAGGCTGCTGAAAGGTTAGGGAGCAGTAATTGAGTTTGAAAGCAGTCACTGCTGAGGTGGTGAGTGCTGTTCTGTATCAAAGTGGAAGCAAAGGGTACGGACATAGTGTTACAGATCAAAATGATGCTGCTTACTGCAGCACAATCACCTTTTTCACCTGTTTTTTGTGTTGTTTTTAAAATGGAACCGCGCTATATAGAAGATGGACATTACCACTTAGACTTCACCCATCGCTCGGCAGCATTTAGGCCGCATTAAAACGGACACCGTTGTGGCCGGGGTGGGAACCGTGGAAACCAAAGTGTAGCAGCTTTTCGGTCTCAATGTGGCTTTTCATTGACAAGTGCAATATCGCAAGTACTTCACAAAAAAGCCAATGTGCTTTATTAGATTCAATGTGACACTGTTGAAGTCAAACATCGAGGTCAGGCGTCGACACTGTTGGCTTCATTTTTCAACCCCAGTGAAGTGTAAGCATCTTTATATATTTTAGGCTCGTAACTGCTTTATGGACTAATTGTTTGATAGAATATAATCTGACTGAATAATAACCTATTCTATTTTTCACCAGAAAATTCTGCAACTTCTGCCAGAGAAAATCTACAATAGATGGCAGTTTCACAGTATAGGTATGTACTTCATCTATTCATTTGAAAACTTGGTGGTGATTTCTTTGTTACATCCTCACACAGTTTAAAAATGGTGTATTTTGTCTTTGTGCTTTTGTAACCTCTGGGGCATTTTGAAGGACAAAAAAATGCCATCACAACCGTGCCTAAGCCTCCCGTAATGAAGAGAAAATTAGTCTTAGAAGGGGATGTAAATGGGAAATGCAAATGAGCACTTCATTGGAAATGCAAATAAGTAATTAAATTATGCTGCATAATTTCAGTCCAGCATTGAAAAAGTAAAAGCGTTGCAAGCAGCAGTGACCCCAATTATTACTGTTGTTTGTCGGCCTTTGGCACCTAAACAGATCACTGGTGAAGCTTGGCCTTTCCCACAGGCTTACAATTTCAAATATCAAGTCTCATCTTTGGATGAATGCCCCAGAAATATTCTCCATTTTGTCTGTCACGGAGTAAGAAATCATTACAGGTTTAGGGCTGTTTCTTCGACTCATTTTTGGAGTCATGTGGCATTTTCTTTTTCATACCACAGTTTGGGTGATGCAGTTCTTTTATTTATATACTTAAGCCAAGATAACTCGCATAGTTTTGGGGGGGTATTTGATAACCAGTTCCATTACAGACAGAATTTCAGTGCCATGTGACAAATTCCCTGTAGTGGCTGGAATGACATTAATAAATTGGTGGTTTTGTCCCTTTCCAGTTTAGGATTGCTAGGTCAGACATTTCACACATACCTTTTTGTTCCCAAACCTGCAAGTATAAAAATATTTGATCCTGCTTTTGTGTAACCATCATTCAGGTGAGAGCAGGTGTGTTTTATCATTTCACAAGAATGTCTGCTATTGAGACCCTAAAAAGTCATTTTTCACCAGTTTAAAATATCACAGGGAGATCACTCATTGGAGAACAGTCATAATATGGACTTTGGTGGCTTGGCTTTTTCCTTACCCTAACCTTGCTTTTAGCTCTAATCCTAATCTTACAAACGCCCATGAGGAGCTTTCAAAATGTCCTCGTAAGGACAGAGCTGCTTTCCACTCGCAGGAACCTCTTCTGGGCTGCAATCAGAGCAATGTCTCATTTGATTACAGCAAAGCCAGACTGCCTTCAAGAGTGCATGTTGCTGCCCACAGATGTTCATTTTCATCAGGAACATCTGAAGCCTTTCCACTCTACCCTGTAGTTTGTTAAGATGACCCATCAAGGTCAATTTAGATCAGCAGAGTTGACATGATGGGCTGTTTCTTTTGTATGCCTGCTTGTTGTGTGACAGAGCTCTGTTAAATATTCCATTTGCTCAACTTTTTGGTTTCTTATTTACCACAGGTTCTATTCTTAAAAAGCTTCTACACACTGGAAATTCATTCAAAGTAAGTGTTTTTTTTTGCACAAAAACCCACGGGCCACCCTGTTACTCTGTGAGGCACACACACATGTTAAAGATGGGCTGCACATATTTCTCTGTGGATCTGATTGAGATGAGCTTCTTTTGTGTAATCCTTGATTTATTTACCGTCTTTCCCCTGTCTAGATACGCTGTGAGGGGATCCGCCTCTACTTGCTGTGGCTGCAGGCTCTGAGAGACAACTGTGCCGAGGAGCAGTTTCTCATCTTTGCCTGCCTAGTTCCAGGATTCCCTGCTGTTCCCTCCTCCAGAGGACCATGCACTCTCGACACCATCATTTACAACCCCTTCTCCAACCCCCCAGACGGTAAGGCGGGCCAAACGCGTAGTAACACACGTGTGCAGTGCGCGCATTTCTATTTGTGTCGACTTTGCAACACACCAAACTTTTAAGTGGAAATCTCTGTTACCTTGGGGTCTGTCTTCACTTTCCATCTGAACAGCTAAGGTGGTGCCAGAGGAGATTACCCCACTGGTTCCAGCCGTGGTGGGAGAAAAAGTTGCAGATGACCTGACCTGTTATATTCTCGATACACTGCTCAAGTACATGGTCATCCAGGTAAATGCATATGTTTTCAGGGAAAGATTCAAATGCTGTGTGTCATTTGCAACCCCCAAAATTTGTGCTGTCATTATTCAATGTTAAGTTGCAGACACATACTCCTTAGCCAATGACCACAATTCAGTTTAGCTTTTTTTGTTTTTTTTCTCATTCCTGTGTGAGTTGTCAATCAGTACAAATTTGAACAAATAGTGCAATCTTATACTTTATCCTTCCAATGCAGTCTAATTAGTCTTTATTTTCTAATGTGAATGTTGACTGTTTGTCATCAATATTTTGTGCAACAAAACAGGATGAAAACTATCTCTATCTTATTTGACACATTTATATCCAGTTTCTTATCTCTAAGGATTTGTCCATTTTTTTGTATTGTAGACACTATACTGATGGCATCTAAGCAATACTGGAACCATATCTTCTGCTTGAAAGCTGACTTTGTCTACTTTTTGTGCTGTTTCTCTGCCAGGCATCCAGTTTAGAATGGAAGAACAAAGAGAATCAGGACACAGGCTTCAGGTTTCTCTTCAGTCTCTTTAAAAAGTACTACCTTCCCCATCTGTTTCCCTCCTTCACCAAACTCACAAACCTCTACAAGCCTTTATTAGGTAAGCTAACAAATAATTATTTAGTGCTACAAAACTTTACAATCTATAGTCAAAGGGTGTAACTTGTAACTGTAATATGCCTTTTCATCTTTTGAACCTTTTGAATACTTTTAGTTTAAAATAAAATAATCTCTTTGATTTACCTGTCTTTATATTTCTTTCTCTGTGGTGTCTACGCACCTTTCCATCATCAGACCTCCCCCACCACCGACCCAAACCGTTGTATGTGCCAGTGACGCGAAACAATGAAAGCACCTTCTGCACTCGGGACCAGTACCTGGCACCCAGAGTGGCCTTCATCACCTGGCTGGTCACCTTCTTCCTGGAGAAGAAGTATGTCAGCAGTGCTGCTTCGGCGCAGAGCGCCAAGAACGGCACAGAGGTCATTCCTAAGCTCATCCAGGTGAGTATGGCAGCCCCCTTATGTCTTTTTGTCACTCTGCTTTAAAGGATGAGGATAAACTCTTCTGAAGAGACGTATGCTGATATAAACCCTGTGTTTTTGTTGAATTTAAGACCCCGTTTCAGAAAATATTTGTATATTTGATGAGAAAGTTCTGATGTTTTAGAGTTGCATACTATTTATCAATGATGGCTTGTTAAGTAATAGGGACATATCTCTTTACACTGCACTGTAAAGTTCAGCACCTCCACAGAATACAGCTCAGTTTAAAAGAAAAAAAGTGTTCTGCCCCTTGTTTTCTGTAAACGCATAACAAATGGGAAGCTTAGTACAGCACTATACTTTCCTTCATTGCGAGAGCCATGTTTATGTGAGAGAAGTAGAATCGTGCCATTGTTCTTGTAATAGCACATACCTCATTAAGGAATTGAAGCAATTACTCATGAAATAATTAACTTGACTGGAACTGGACTCTCATGAGCAATTATTTTACTGCCCTGTAACTTATGCGGCCACTCTCATTTTCCCCAAACTCTGTCCAGACTGTCACTGCAGGCAGTAGCAGCCAAGAGAAGGAGAAAGACAAGACATCCGATGGAGATACAAACGGGTTGGCAGGTGACACAGAGAAGAACCACTCCAACAGCAGCACGCTGTCTGATCGACGGCCCAGTGATTCAAGTCTTTGTAGCATCGATGAGGAGCACCGGCATGTCTATGACATGGTGCATTCCATTCTGTTGTCCACCCGGGACAACGTCAATTTTGTCAACGAAGTCTTCCACCAGGTATAGCAGAGTCACAAAGCAGTTAAAACGCATTGCCGTAAAAGTGTGTGCTGTGTCGCCCTCTAGTGGCCACTCTTTTTACAGAAATAAAACATCTCCCACTGATAAGTTAGGCTAATGAATATCCTCCTGTTTTCGTTCCAAAGGCCTTCCTGCTGCCGTCCTGTGAGGCTTCAGCCACCAGGAAGGTGATTAAGGTCTACAGAAAATGGATCCTGCAGGAGAAGCCCAACTTCATGACAGAGCCTGACACATCTGCACAGGAAGACGAAGTGGATGACAGCTCTGAGCCCATACTCACACAGCCTAACAGCGTTCATATACAAGTAACAACCACACAATGATGCCATGAGCTTACAGTTTTCTTTTACATATAGCAGTTACTGACTGTTCTGTCTTGTCTCTCACAAGATGTTGGAGAGCCACGGTCACAGACGATCATCCAGTTGGGGAAGGACCTACTCATTCAGCAGTGCAATCAATCGGGGCTTTCTCACAGAGGAACAGAACAGGGACACCAAGGCTGGTGTCCAGCCCACATTACAGGTCTGTTTCTATGTTCAGATGCTGGTTTGTAACCCAAAATCATAGCATGGGGTGGCTGAAATGAGGCACAGTTACCTGTCAAATCTCACCATTATCTGCATTGGTCTGTTTGTGTTGCACCCTTGCAGGTGTTCCTCACCAACTCCTCCAACGTGTTCCTGTTGGAGCCATGCCAGGACGTACCCAAACTCCTGGAAAATCAGGTTGATGTGTGCAAGGGTGTTCTCAGCATTTACCGGCACATGATCATGGAGCACAGTATGAGTACACAAACATGGTCAGTACAATGTTAGATACACAAACGATATATTCTAATTTTGCTGATGTATACGTTTTTCACATTTCTGCTTTTTTTCATGCATGTCTGGTTTTTTTGTGTTTGAGCAGGGAGCAGATGCTGCAGGTACTACTGAGGATCACAGAGGCTGTGATGAAGAGGCCGCAGGACAACCAAAGAAAAGACGGCTTTGCTGAAAGCTTAGCATCTATGCTGTTTAGGGTATGCCCACACCCACTTCTGTAAATAACTAATATAAAGGCATATTTGGGTCAGATCAATTTTATGATCGTAATTACTCCAAGAAAAATTAAGGAGTTTAAGGTTTCCCTCATAGATTGACTGTTCAAGTATAAACCTGCCAAACAAATATCATTAACAGTGCTCTTCGTAATACAGAATAGTGAAAGCTAGTCCTGTAAGGTGCCACAATTAAAGTTGTGATGAAGTTAATGTCTGACTTCTGCTTTTGCATTCAGACCATCATTGTGGCGTGGGTGCGAGCCAACCTCTGCGTATTTATCTCCCGGGAGCTATGGGACGAGCTGCTGGCAGTGCTGTCCTCTCTTACCTGCTGGGAGGAGCTGGTGGCGGAGTGGGCCAACATTATGGACTCGCTCACAGTTGTGTTGGCACGCTCTGTTTATGGCCTGGACTTGGCCAACCTGCCTTTGGACAAACTCAGCGAACAGAAAGAGAAGAAGCAGAGAGGACGTGGTGAGGGGAGGAGCTGGGAAAACATGAGTGAGGATTGGAATGGCTAATTGCTGAATATGAGTAGAAAATAAGTCTTAAAAAGTTTTGTTGAAAGATAAGTTCAGCTTCTCCTAGTTGCTCTGTTCCGATTATTTTTCTTACGAGCTAATAATGAGACTTTTGATAGGCTTCTTCCCAAACCTGATTGAATCTAAATGTTTTTGTAGTTTAAAAATATCAAGTTTCATAAACTACAATGAGCTTCATTTTGAACAGATGTGAGAACATACTCACTCATATAATTAAATTGTTTTTTATCTGTGACATGTAATATATGTTTTGTGCTACAATTTCTGGTGTCAAAAATATGTGTTGGTAGTCTTACATGTGGATATTACATAGGGAATGATCACACTGCATAAATTAACCATCTTCAGGGTAAGAAATATATTTTAGAACAGTCATTATCTTCCCAACACGTCTGTATTGTAGAGACCAAAAAGAGTCTTTCCTAACTCTTGCCGAAGGTCATGTTTAAAAAAAAAAAAAGGAAAATGTACACTTCAGCTCTCTGAAATCTGGATCTTTGTATGTCAGGAGTTGTTCAGGACTCTCAGAAGGCAGCTGCAGTTGCTCGCTCATTCTCACTGAGCTGGAGGAACCAGGGGGAGCAGAGTGGACCAGGAGTGCAGGAGCCCATGAGGATTCGCTCAGCCACAACGTCGGGAGCACCTGGTGTGGAGAACGCCCGGAACAATGTCCGGCAGAAGGCCTCTGGTTAGTACCACTGTGTTTCCGTTAGCGCCATTATCAGAGAGCCAAATATTACAGGCGCAAGGTGGGGCAATTTTATAATGCACTTCCCATTTGTACTATTATATATGCATTTTGTATTGTCCTCTGCCTTTTTGTGGGACAGCGATAAACCAATGGAGCACTTTTTCAAACCGCGTGGCTTATCCGGCATATTCATTATGCCTAGTAGTCTTCAGACAGATCTATGTGTACACTGGCTTATGTGCCATTGAAAGGTCTTACACTACAGACAAAAAGCCCGGCAGATGGCCCACATTGTTTCCCTTTCATGTCACTGACCAGTGTCAACATGTTTCCCTGTCGGCTTAACTGCAGGCATACAACACAATTCCCTCGATGGCATGTCAAAAGGCCGGCGCCGCGTGCTGCAAACGGCCCTTATCTGATGGAAAAGTGGCAGGCTAATTATAAGCTGACCTGGAAGGCAGTAGACTATTAATGCCCGTCTCTCGTGTCCTAATGGTTTCTCGACACAATCTTAATGCGTATAGTGAACGATAGAGATTATCCATTTCTGTGTGTTGGCCTTCCACCCATGTGATGTGCCAACACTGTTTTCAAATGATGAGCTCAGTCAGCGAGGAGCAGATGAGTCTGTGCCAAAATTATTAAGTCGTAGACACAACACTAACGCTAACACATCTATTATGTGGCTCATGTGCATGTTTATGCATCTATTTTGCTAGCGTGTTTGTGTGTACCTACGTCCAAGCAAAGATGAACATTAAACACGACCGCTTGAGACTCCCTTCCTTTCTTTGGCCTAATTGGATTTCTCCCACATTGATCTTCAAAGCACCAGCGGCCCTTCTACCCTCTCCTCAAGAGAAAGCCCACACATCAATTGCACGGCAGTTTTTGATAGTTTCATTAAGAGTGTAATTAATGCTCATTAATATGTATAAATGGGGAGCATTGGTGGGCTGTAGCGGAGACGATGTATCTCTCTCGCTGAAAGGCGTAATTAAGGTGTGCTGAAAGCAGAGAAGAGAAACGTCCTCTTTCAGTGCTGAGTCTGAGTAAGCTTGAAGTGCTATCCAGACACAATGACAATGCATCAGCACACACAACTGTCAAAACTTGGTTGCTCTTACCCATGCAAATAAATTGAGTTATTGTTGTGAAATCTTTTCTTCATAATGGGGGAATAAAGGCTCAAAGTTTCATTAAGGTACTCATTAGGCTTATAAAATTAACAGGGAACCAGGTGAATGAAGGCTGGCTCTTCCACTGCTATGATGGCTATTGGGTGGTTTAATTATACTTTTTTATCTCCAGGTTGCAATACGGAGCTATATTTAAATTTAATCTAAATTGAATAGAGGGTTTGGCTTGTTCACTGGTAATAATTTCGAAAGCTGTGAGGAATTTTGATAGCTTGGTAAATGGTTTGATTGTTTTTTTTATCATCAAACTATTATTATTAATCAATAGTATTTCCGTTACTCAACATATAGTATTTTACTTATTTATCCTGCAATTTCTCAGTAAGAGAGATAAAAAAATAGATACATTTAATGTTATGACTTTTTTGCACAAAGAAGCCTTGAACATTATGTTGATAATGATGTGTTTGGTAATGATAAACATACAAAGTATGTTTTTGAAAACTCAGAAAAACATGTTCTTTGTTATTAACAATTTTTTTTTTTTTTTATTGTTCTTATTTTTTCCTGATGTCAAATTATGTTTTACTGTGTAATGCCATTTGATTGAAATGTGGTCCAATTTTAGCTTTATTTTTTGTATTTTTTTAAAAACAGTATTACTGTTTTTTTATTTTATTTTATTGTACCTACAAATACGTACCTACACATAACTTAATTTCCTTAAAGATTATTTTTGTTTGAAGTCATTTTCCACTATGACATATATTGGTCAAACTTGGATTTAAACATTGGCTTTTTTTCCCCTACATTCAAATTTCCTATCTGAATTTGTTTGTATAAGTTAAACTTGGGGTCTGCTTTGTTTTTTAACTGAAACATTCCATATTCTCTAATTGAATACTGTTTTCTTCCGTCTACCCCCTTCTTTCATCTACCTACACTGTCCCTTTCTTTTTTCTCCTCTTTCTCTGTCCCTGATGGAAGCTAAACGAAGCCAGTCCATCAGCAACTGTGTTCACCTTTACGAGGCTTTGCCTACAACTAAAAGCGTTCCTATGCTTCTCCACACTGTGAGCTCTTTCTTGCCTGGTATCTCTTCTGGTAACTCTGCTTGCTCTCACAGACTCTCAGGTAAAGTGGATTGTGAGAGCTGCATGCGTTTGTGCGTGTTTGTGAACTCCACCCCGCATTTCTCATCCATCAGTCACAGTCTCTCATCTTCAACTGCAGTGTTTGCTCTTAATGTTTGTTTTAGGTTATAAAGTTGGCTTTCAACTTGAAAAACACATGTGCACCAAAAATAGTTGTGATAAATCTCTAGACAGACGTGCTGTGTTACACAGTTCATGTACAGTACGTCTGCATGCCAAATGTTCACTCATCCATTAAAACCACTTTATATCTCACTGTTTTTGTTGTCAGTCCCTTAAATTAACACAAGTCCAGTCCCAGGATGTTTCCATCGTGTATCAATGTGAATTTGGTTCACCTTGAAACACACACTGTGTCTTTCTTGAAGATGTGGAAGAGTGTCAGCTGTCAGAGTGTGGGGCAGAGGAGGAGTTGGGAGGCAGAGAGAGCCCTCTGCAACGTAGCAGCAGCACCTCAGACCTCACCCATCAGCTGTCTGAAACCTTGCCAGGTACACAAAACTGCCTCAGATCCCTTTCATTGGAATAACACCCATACTCTGTGAATGCTACGTAGCTGTTGTGTTAAGTCATTAGTCTGCTCTTGTGTCAAATTTCTAATTACACATTTTAAAATTTTATGAAGTTTAATGTGGAGCCTGGTAATAAATCAATCTGCTGTTCAGTTTCTAAATATTGTGAATGTTAAAAGCTATTTTTAGAGTTGCTAAAGTGGTTTCAGATGAGGGTCTGCACTCTTAGGTAAACTAGTAGAGGTACTGGAAGTATCAACCTGGTGACTCATAGGATTGATTAAACACAACTATCTGCAGAGTTGTTCAAGGAAATTTTTAAAAAATGGTAGGGGCTTTAAAAAAATTATTCTTTACAAAATGTCTTAAATGTTTGTCAGGATTTTTTTGTTTTGTTTTTTTGTAATAGTGAAATGGGACACAACCTGATATTTAGAAGAAGTTCAGAGTAAACTGGACAGTTTTAATACGTGCTTCTTATCTCAATCAAGATCCTGAATCTTCATCTTTTCTTATAATCAAAATCAGGTTTATTGACTTTGATTTTTACATACAAGGCATTGGATTTGGTTGTGGTTCAGCGCATGCAACTTATACATAAAATTCTGAAAAAATAAAAGATAAAAAATTAAGTGATGATGATTGACTTTGTGTTCATTAGTTATTCTTAAAAGCGAAAATGTTGTCTTGAATATTGTAATTTATGCGCCAGTCGAGGCTTGAAAGCCAAAATTATGCTTGTGTTGCTTAAGGTCATAGATTATTGCAGCTTGGATGGATTATCCAATGGATTTGATTAAATTCCATTGAAGCTTATTAAATCCAAGGACTTCTAATAGTATCCTATTTCTCCTTGCAGCTCAGAAGAGAGAGTACTCCCCTACCTCTTGTGGTTCTGACAGCAGGATGTCTGAGGGCAAGAATGAGAACAATGAACCACCTGTGGTGAGAAAATTAAACTGTTCCATAACACTATTTTAGGGATGAAATAAGAATTGTGCAGTATAAAATGTCCTTTACGTTTGGAACTGCTTTATTAGATTCTAATCCGGCGGAGTAGCAGTCCAGTCGAGACGGAGTGTAGTGCTGATGGACACACAAACTACTCAAAGCCCAAACTTAGAGACAAGAGTAAGAAATGAGAGAATTATTTGTTCATTTAAACTGATTATCGTTCTGATCATTTAAGAAACTGAAGTCAAACAGTGAATGTTTATGCACCGGATCCTGCCAATCACATTGTACGCTCTTACAGGTGAAAGTGTGAGTAGTGAGACATCCAACGGCTACCTCAATGAAGCTGAAGTTACCTGGCAGACATTTGATGAGGAGGCTGACAATCAGTCCACTCAGTCAACTCACATGGACGTGACAGCTGATCCTCAGAGCCAGGGGAGTCTGCTGCTCAGCCACAACGAGGCTCTCGCAGGTAAAAGAGCTGATAGGAAGTCAGAGCATGCTCCCAAAGTGGCATTTAGATCTGTGATTATTATTGACGGTACACAAACATTAACACATTCTTTGCAGCAGCGTCTGCATATGTCTTTGTTGATCTGCTTGTATTAACAGTAATCAAGACACCTGTCAGGATGCACGATTTCAGCCTGCTTCTGTTAGGTTTCTTTAGTATTAGAATTAAATAGACAAAAGAGCTTTTCAGAATACAGATGCAATCATTTGGAAGGACTCAGTTTGTTTGTAAACTGATCTAAAGTGTGTTACTGCTAGATCAGGTTCTGAAGCCTTCAATAACCTCACCCTTGAAGAATGGAGTTGATCCTGTCAAGTAAAGCAACCCTTTATTTGGCATAGTATTTCTCAAACAGAGCTTTCATTATTAGCAAGTTGTGAATTTTAAGGGAGGAAAAGGACTGGTTGGATTTATTGCTCACAGTTATGCATTTACTTTGGACAAACATGACAAATCCATTCAGGTTTTTCTTTTATTCCTGTCCTCGGTACATCTGAATTTACTCTCTGCGCCCTTTCCATTTCTGTGTGACCTCCTGTGTGCGTTTTCACGTTGCAGTCATAGTCTTCTTGTGTTCCTATCCTCAATCCAGTTTTATCCCTATTCCCTTTTTGTTTTTAGGTCCTCCCGAGTGTGCTCACCCTCCCCAATCTGCACCTCCCAACCACCACCACAATTCCCTCTACCAATATCCCCAGAACCCCCCCGCCTCACCAGCCCTGCTGGTGCACACAGAGTGCCCGCGGGACTGCCCCCTGGACGACACCATGCATCAGTCTGTCTTACACATGCCACACCACTTGGGTACCGCTGTCTAGCTGTTACTCATCATTTAGACCATAGTCCTCATTTACATTTGACTCTCGGTGCTCTATGATTTAGTCTTGCCATGACCTTTTATTTTACTATTCTTCGTTTTCATTCACCATTATAGCACATCCGGTCAGATTTTCTTCTTCCTCCTATGTGCCTTCTTTACTGTACCCAACTTTAAGGTGGTTTGGTGCTTGAAAAAAGTTTTTAGGTTCTTCTGGAATCCTTTTTACTTTAACTTTGCGACAGTATTAACATTTTTCTTTCATCTGTCATGTTTAAAATTACTTTATTACATCTTATTTCTATGTCTCACCCCCTCCGGTTCCCATAAGACTTCCTTAATCCACTAGATGGCGCTGTCGTCTCACAATTCACCTGGATGATGCATGTGTTGTGTGCCTTTTTTCCTAAAGCATTTCAGTGCTTTAGTCACATAAGATAAGAATCTTGGTGCTTAAATGTATTTAGGGAAAAAGCACTGACAGTCTTTGGATTTGGTCAACAGCTGCTCAAAGCAAGTAGATTTATTCTGCTGTAATCAGTTGTAGCAGATCTCAGATTTAAGGTTCCCTAGTAAAAGCTTTTGCTGTATTTGTTGACTGAATCCAGCCGTCTTGGTCAAATGAAATCCGCTTGTTTTTGTTCTCCATACTGGCTGGTGCAGGTGTGATCACTGCCAGAATAGGTTTGATTTTACTGAATCCAAAACTCTTTCTCTTGACCATGCAGACAGTAGTGAGTACCTGGCCGATGATGTTAGCATCATTGCTGGTGGGACCCTGACTGGTTGGCATGCTGATTCTGCCTTTGTGCTGTGGAGGAGAATTTTGGGTATCCTGGGAGATGTCAACAGTATCCACTGCCCTAAAATCCACGCCAAGGTCTTCTCTTATCTCTATGAGCTCTGGCACAAGCTGGCTAAGGTACAGAAAAAAGGGAATTGCCATATGCTTTAAATAAAAAATGTGTGTAATGTTGTGTTGTATGCTATGAAAACTAATAGTTTTTGTTAGGATTTAATGGTGTTAATAGAATCTTTGTGAATGACAGAATGGAGACTTTATTCTTAGTTTTTCATGCAGAAATGCTTATAAAGATTATATGATGGCTGTACTCACTGGCAAAAATTAAATGTGTGTCTACAGATCCGGGACAACCTTGGGATCAGTGTGGATAATCAGTCTTCTCCTCCCCAGCCTGTGTTTATCCCTCCCCTTCGAATGCTCTCATCCTGGCTCTTCAGGGTTTGTACAACACATAGACACATTTAGAAACCTATTACATTTCTGAAGAATGATATTCTTCTCTAAAAGCCAATGTGATGATATTTGACGTGGCTTATTGACACGCCGAACATTTACCATTGTATGAACAGAACAGGAATCTTCTTTCTGTGCTAGAAAACAAATGACAGAGTTCACCATTTCTCCGAACAAACATAAAACATCACGCAGATGTCGAATTCTCTCCATAAAGGGCCCCGGAATATAATTTGTTTGTGTTTAAAATGAGAAAAGAAGTCACACTCACCTCAGTGTGTCTGTCCCCCACAGGCCACTATGCTCCCAGCAGAGTACAAGGCTGGCAAGCTGCAGGCCTACAAGCTCATCTGTGAAATGATGACCAGACACCAGGATGTTCTCCCCAACAGCGATTTCTTGGTGCACCTTTACCACGTCATGCACAAGGGCTTCACAAGTGAAAACCAGGTACAGCCAGCAACCTCTTGAACCTATTGAAGTGAGGTCGCCTGCTGTTCTTCTTTCTGTTTGGTTGGTTTGCTTTTTAACCTGTAGGTGGCGCAACACTCAAACACCATCTTGCTCCCATTACCAACAATTACTTGCAGTTTTTCTTGTTCCTCTTTTTTGACAGTGGGATGCATAAACTTTGTTCTTATTCTTCCTTGCATATGCATTCATGGTTTGAGCCGTTCAGTCAGTTTAAAACTTCATCCTTATGTTTAATTTTTTTCATCATAACAGGGTGGCTGCTCCATGTAGGTGTGTTTAAGGTGGAAAACGAAACTGGAAAAAAAAAAACACCCCGGTGGAAAGTTACTCTGCCATATTAGCATTGTTTTAAAAGGAAAGAGGCTTTCCAACCGGTGGTGATGCAGAGAGTTGCGGTGTTTTGGCATCTTCCGCCTCCCCTCACCACACCCATCCTCATTTTCTAATCTGGCATAGTTCCATTGCTCTTAGACAAAGCTGAGTGGAGATGAGCGGAGATGAATAGAGTTCCACGAAACAAAGCACAAGGATAAAAAGTCTCATAAGAGGTGTTTGGGATACAAATGTGTGTGTACGTGTGTGTGTGTGTGTGCTTACATGTATTTATGTATGCCCTCTTGGCAGGGTTTCTATTGCGCCTTGGCAATGCGACAAGCTTATTATAATGTTTTCCATGTCGTTAAATAATGTTTTGAGCCCCCGCCGTGCATACGTGATTAATTAAGGATTGACGTCTGTCGCGCTCCGTTAGACTGACACATCAGCCAGGGTCCCAGAGTGCACTGTCCTGCCTGTGTGTATGCGGGTGTGTGTAAAGGAGCGGGAGGGGAGCCTGGGGAACGTGGTGTAGAGTAGAGCAATGAGAGGGCACACTGAGAGACCAGGCAGCATTCTCAAGCTTTTGTTGTGGCTCTGTATAATGCGTTTGGGGGCCAGAGCCAGGCTGGCCAGTGAAGCATGCTCAAATTGGCCGGAGAAAAGAGTCCTCACGCCACACAATAGAGGACAGCCGCACGCCTGCTTAACATAAGAAAGTAGCTCTTACTCTCCTCCCTCCTCCTTCCATTCGGCCTCCACCCCCACCCCCTCTGCAAGTTAGAAAAAAAAGGGGAAATATCCATTTTTTTATCCCGTCTGATCTTGTGTGAATTTTTTAATACATGATTTAACTCACATTTTTCCACTTTGCTTAAACTAATCAAGTAAAATAGACACTTTCTATATTTGTCTTTATATGCTTCTGATTATATGTTGAGCTCTGTACTTTTATCTCCTAATCTAGTAATAAAATTTGCCTTAAAAAGTCAAGACAACAGGGGCAGTCCCAGTGGCAATACTCTCCATTAAATTATATTGATGCTTAAGAAAAATTATTATCCTCTTGTTGGGATTTTCTGTCCAACTACCAGGCTGCCAAGGTCAGGGCATTGTCCTGTGGTCTGTTACTTTGTGGTCATTCGTCTCACATGACCACAGCATGATATCAGTAAGCAATAAAACATATTCTAATCTATGCTGAAATGGCTACTATGACTCTTTGCTAAATATATTCAAACATGCATATGTCATTTTTACATGAACTCCCTGTCTGTTTTGGAAGTGAGAAAAGACTTTCCATGGCCATTAAATAGAGTTAATTGAACATGAATACACTCAGTCATGGGTTAAAATCTTTCCCTAAAACTTTTAAAGTATAACAGTTTGGGGATTGCCACAGGAAATCTGCCTTAATCTGACCTGGAAACGTCAACGTTTAGTAACTGAGACTAACGTGTGACAGTGATGAAATCCAAGAAGGAACCCTGTCACCCCATGAGCCGGCAGGTGGAAAGCGCATTCTTTCCTGGAGATGAGGCCACATAAAAAGGCTTGAGGTGGCTCTATTCGGAGTTGCGTTAATGCACCTTTTGTTGATGCAGAGGCCATTCTCCCCGCCTACCTAGGACCCCATGCGGTTATTCCACATTTCTCAATTTTGATTTCTTTACACACACCTCAAATCAGTTCCCGTCTACTTGCACATACAATTGAAAGCACTTTGCAGTCTACATTTGTGGCTTCCTCTAAAATGCTTATTTCAGGCAATCAAGAAACAGTTTGTTGCCTGCTAATTACCTCTGACTGCTCTGCGCATTATGCTTCAGAGGTCAATTACCAACAAAATGAGGGTAAAATTGGCCCTCAATCCTAAAGCTCTTCCCACCAATTTTCCACATGCAGTGCTGGTGGCTGGTGTTGGTTTGACTTCCTGCTTATTACGTCTGTCCGTTGATTCTTTTAGTCTTTTGTTCACCTGTGTCCCTAGTTTACCAAAGCATGGGATGATTTATGTCTGTCTGTAACATGGTGTGCACAGGTCTTTGGATGCTTCTCACTGAAAGAGAAATTGCAGGCATGTGTTTGTCAGTGTGTCCTTCAGTTCAGGCTGAAGCAGGCTTATATTTGAACGGTCTGATTTGCACAAGTTTATGGCCAAGACGGCAGGTGTTTCTGCCCTGGACCTTGGTTTTGTACACATATAGAGGGACATGAAAGTCTCAGATAAGAGAAAGCAATCTCTCTGGCTTCCAAAGATGCTGCATTATATCACCAGAATTTGTTTTCCGTTTGTCTCCTCTAAAGAGTATATGCTCATGTCAGCAAAGAGTAAATAAATAAGCTCTGTGTTGCAGATAAATATACTTTGGAAAACCTTTTACAATATACATGCTTAAGCAGTTTGTGCAGAACATATGTCAGTGTTGAAAGAGAAGCCATCAGCCACCAAGCTGCCTGTACCTCAACAAAACAATACCTTGTCTCTAGCTTTAATTACAGTTTCGCTTTTGTGTATGTGCATGGGACTCATGAAAGTTGAGGTCTTTTTTCCGCCCTATTATCAGCCACAAACAATCCATCTGCTCTATCTGTTCCATCTTTCTTCCCCCTCCCTTTTTTTTTTGTTTTCCATCCTTTAGCGATATGGACTGCTGAGTGCTTTACTTTTCTCAACATAAAATGTGAGGCCTACTTGTTCAAGTGAAAAGCTTTCTCCCTGCTGTGGCTCTCATTTGGTGCTCCATTTAAAAAATATTTCTGTTACTGCTTCCCCCCACTCACGCTAACAAGACTGAAGGCTCGTAACATGAAAAAATCTGAGTTGTAATTCTATATAATTTTTTATTTGGCCGTAATTTAGTTTGTTCCTGCATCAGATGAATAATCCATGTTGATTAAGAGGAAACGTCAATGCAGAACCCGCTGACTAATGTTTGTTTTGTGTTTTTCGTTAGGATATTTTGAACACCATCATCCGCTCCTGCTCTCCTCGATTCTTCTTTCTTGGCCTCCCAGGTTTCACTATGCTGCTTAAAGATTTCATCACTGCCTCGGCCTGCGTCCTCACGTCTGACTCCCCAGAGGTAAAAAACTTGTCACATTTATATTAAATAAATGACTAAAAAAAGATATGACCATGTTGGCTCTGACTTGAGAGGCTTATGTAGCAAATCAAGTAGAATTTAATGTCCTCTGACTCTTCTAACTGATGAATGAAAGATTTTTTTAAATTTAATATTAGAAGAGCAGTTCAGTTCTTGTACCTTTGACAGGGCTGAATAAAAGCATTGTGTTTCTCAGACTCAGTATTTGTCTGCTTACGCTGTGGGGGCTCCTATGCTGGTTCAGAGCCAGAGCTTAATTCTTTCAACCAACAAAGAGTCCATCTCTCAAAACTGGACCAGCACCAATAATCTGTAGGCCACCAAAAAGAGAGAGAGGAGATGTTTGATTGCTCTATTTTTAGAGCTAAAAACAGTACTTCTGGCTAAGATGTTAATTCAAGTCAATTATGAATGTGTTTCAAAGTGGCTGTTTTCTTTTTCTTCTTTTTTTTTTTACCAAAGAGAGTTCAGTCTTTTTTCCGTACACGGTAAGCCGCGTTTTAGTGCCTGCACAAATCATGGTCAAATATGTGCATAACAAGTATGCCTTTAAAGATTTTTCCATATTTTGATATTATTATTTTTCAAAACAGTTTGTCGAAATAACCATTTTATTTGATTAATTTTTCTCCAGGTTTTTGTGCTTAATACGTTTAACCAAATATTACTCTTAAGTGTTCAATCAAACACAAACCTAAATAAAAGAAAAATGCTGAAAGTTTCATTTTTAACAGACATCAAAGTCTTTCTGGAACCTCATTTGCATATATTGAGAATATACCCTGAAAATCTACAGATTTGGGACAGTGGCACAGCTAACCTTCAAACACCCAACTAGAGACAATAATTTTAGATAATAAATAAATCAAATAAAACATTTTCAAAAATCTCCTCTTTAACAAAAAAAAATAGTGGAATTAACAAACCCTTTTTTTGCATGTTTAAAATGAATCATTTGTGCCCCAAAATGAAAAGAAGTGGGGCATAGTTTGTGTATGCGAATCCTCTTGCTGCCTTGTTGTGGTGTGTGCCTCTGTGGCAAGTAATCATGTGAAGGATGACAAAGCCCTAAGGGCGGGGTGGCAGCAGTAGTTAAAAAGAGAAATTAATGTCAAGAAAGAACAAACAAACAAAGAGTATTTAAACGGATTTGTTTCCCAGCCTTGTGATTGACACAACTTAATTCTCAAGATTATGCCTTCATCTTTAGGAACTTAAACAAATCTTAAACAATATAAATATTTAATGACACTTTAGCTTTTTTTAAAGACACATTTTAAATTAATAGCTGTAAAGACTTTGGTGTGCAACATTTTTCAATCACAGAGTTAAATATGTGCATCATGTTATTTTAATAATCTCAACTAACTGTGGAAAACACTGATGCTCCCAGTCCTGTGCACATCTTTTGCATTTGTTTGCTAATATTGATTAAGAAACTGCCAATGCAATGACCAATCCCAGTTTACTTGCAAACAGTATATGCTGATTCTGTGGAGCAAATTAATCTGAACAGTCTAATCACTCTTTATTCTTTTTTCACTTTAATCATCTTGTTTCTGTTTTGGTTGCTTATATCTGCATAGATTTCAAATCTCCTGTGATCTCGGTTTGTCAGCAGCTCATCAGATGCTTCAACATCTTCAGCCTTATTTCTGAGTTACATCCATCATGCATTTAGTCACTTTTCTTCCCCAGTGCTTAACGTGGATGAAATTATTCTGTGGAAAATCAGCATCATGAATAAAGATTAGGTTAATTCTACTAAATCCCTACACTTCTGTTCTCCAGGATAACGAGCTCCCTCTTTTCTGAAAGTGGATTGTTTTCATTTTGTTTGCTTTATGGAATAATATGATTCTGTTTGTTTTTTATTTGATCTGTTTTTCTTTTATAGGCTCCAAGAACTGAAGCACAGACTATCTTAGGCTCCCTGGTGTGTTTCCCTAATCTTTACCATCAGATACCTGTACTGCAGCATGGGCCTAGCTCTGATGACATCATTGTTGGCAATGAGGATATTAAGGTAAATATTCACAATGTGCAGTTTTTGGAATACATCCATGACATTTAAAAACTAGATGAGCTCACTCCACCAGAATGACTGAATTAGTCATCTGCTGTGTTAAAAAAAAGTCATATCTTCCATATTAATACATGTAGAATATCAGATCCAGGCATAATATGTCATGAAGATTTAATTAGACTGTCAAGTTGAATGTTACTATAGAATATCTCACATTTTTATCGACAATCAAATCATGGATTTTCCCGTTCTATGAGAAACATGAGAAAAACCTGTTATGCTTCCTCCTCAGGATTATTTGGTCAACATCCTGCTGGAGGCAGCTAGAAAGGAACACTGTGAAGGGTCAAGGTAAGAGCAGCAAAGTCGGTCACACATCCCTTCCTTAAGCTGGTAAGAGAAAAACACTCCCAAATATCTGGCCTTTTAGGACAGTCACAAAATGCAACTGGCATCAACAACTTAAAGACCAAAATTGCCTCATTTTTTTATTGTACTAACTGCCAGCAAAAAAACACTCAGTTGAGATGCTTCTGCCAGAGCTGCACAAAAAAAGTCAGGCACTGCGGAGGAGACATGATGGCTAGAGTGAAGCTCAATACCAGTATTTTGTATGCTTGAATAAATATTTTTCTAAATAATTAAACTGACCTTAGGTTCAGTGAGGTCTCTTTTCTATTAAAAAACAAGTTTTTTTTATATGGAATCAAATCTAATTGCGTAGCGCTGATATTCTTTCTTGTATGTCTTTGTCATGTGTGAAAATATTGAGCCACAATGGGGTGTTGAAGTTGATCCATCACTCTAAGTCAGCAAAGCATGTATACAGAGAGGCGGGTTTATGTCTGTCAGCATCCTGGAATACACCACTCTTACCTATAACATTTGTGGGTGCTGATCTGTGAAGCCTGCTCACTGTGAGTGGGATCTCATTGATACAGGGCTCATCCTCCTCTGTTTGGTAACCCTGAGCACTCTACCTTTCCTGTAACATTATTCATTATTTGCTTCCATTTTCCAACTTCATCCTGTTGGTTTGATCTGTCCTAATTTTTTTGTTCCATTACGTGTGCTTAACAAACTTTGAAAAGTATGTGACTACAGAGCTTTTCCTGTCCATTTTAGGTGTCTTATACTATTCATTTGAAGCATATTTGCCCAAAAATTTGTTAACTTTACCTCAGGTGTTTTTTGTGAATAATAGTTTTTTTTCTTTTTTTTGTGAATACATTTCTGATGATTGAAATAGTTATACTTTGATCTTTATGCAGTATGTATGTTGCTAACTGTCCTCCAGGTGCATTGCTGTGTGCAGCCTGGGCCTGTGGGTCTGCGAGGAGCTGATGCAAAACAAGATTCACCCCCAGGTGAAAGACGCCATCAATGTTCTGGGAGTAACACTAAAGGTTTGTTTCCTTCGGATCAATTGTTGTCACTGCTTTCCATATGTTTGCATTTCAGCAACTTTTGAAATTTATTGTACTAAAACATTGGCTTCATGAGCTTGTTGTCCATCGTTTTTATGGCAAAATTCTGAACAGAATGGATTAGTTGCCACTACATCTTAAAATGAACGGGTTCATAATTGTTATTTGTGTTATATGACACAAACCATGTGGGTTTTAGCTGCAACAAAAATGGAACTTGATTACATAAAAGTACCGCAGAACAATTTCAACTCTTGTGAGGAGAGAAAATCCATGAGAATAAAACATGTCCAGGGATGTGACTCACGGGTATATTTTGGAAGAGCCCTCTTTTCACTCTGAGTGAAGAGATGCAGAGAACCAGCGAAGGCTGCCTCTTTTTTTTTTTCTCATGGAAAAGGATTTTGGGTGGTGGCGTAATTTCCAGTCTGCTCGCTCTCAGTAGATGCGAGCCAATTTAAGCAGCTACATCTCCCAGCTTCCTGCTTGAGCACCCCCACATCCCCCACCTCCCTCCTCTAATGGAGCAGTAATCACTCCCCTGTACAACTTGACACACAGACTCAGCTAGCCCCAAAATAGAGGGTATAGGCTGGGTGGGGGATCTAGGGGGAAGAGTGGCACTGAGAGTCTCTTTTCTAAAAGCAGGTGCTGAACTCTCAGGGCCCCTTTTTGTGCTTGGCCATTTCTGTACTCCCCACATTGTCTGCCCTTGTTACATGTTGAGAGGCATTCAGCTGGAAGAAATGGGAAATTCTATTTCTCCACAAAGAATTTCAAATCACTGAAGAAATCCACATTTGAAAGAAAATTGTCAACAACCCAGTTCTTTCGTTCGATGAGTCTGGAGAAAATGAGCCATGGCTTTGAAGTGAAATCAAATTATGCTGATTATCTGCACAGTAAGTGAAAACTGAATTTAAGGAAAATCACTTAAAATGTTGTGGCCAAAAAGGTCTCCTTTCCAAAACTTTTTTCAATGTCTTTAAGCAATGCCCCACTGTTACTTTAAAATTTCAAAATCTCAAGTGGCACGAACAACAGAAGGTGTTGCATAAAATAAAAAAATCTTCGCAAAGAGTCCCTTTCTGCAAACTATTAGACTATCGTTTTAAAATCTGTCTTTCAATTTGCCTTACAGTTTGTCAGATTTTGTTAGATTTCCCAAAGTTAGATTTAAACTAAAAATGCAGTTCCTCTTCTGAGGTTCACCCTACATGTAAAGCCAGTCATAAAAGAAGTAAGAGGTAGATCCTATTGGCCTGAAACAAGCATTTTAAGAAAAGAATGCATGCTTAATATGGTAAATATGGTATGACTAAATCTGTAAATCTGTCCAACACAGGGCTCATGCAAAATTCCTGCCAGTCAAACTTTTTTTGTTGTTAATCATTTTTTTTCCCACTCATAGTTGTATGATATGATGTTTCTGTATTTTTACAGACGTATCATAAATAAGTAAAGCCTTACTCGATAAGAGGATCTGTATTTATCTGAAGTCTTTGTTGTAATAATAGATCCTATAATATAAAAAGAGCAATTAACATGTTTTTTTAAATCAAATTTAAGCAGTTAGCACAAGTTTACTGCAACCTTAAATGCAAAAAATAATAATTATTAAATATTCCAGGTTTGTTGAAATTCAGTTTTTACAGTTTGAAGCAATTGGTCTGAGAAATGTCAAATATGATGCCTACGGTATTAAAGGGTTTATTTTTACATTGATTCTTCATATCGATCTTTTGACACTGAGATCACTTTTAGTTGGTCTAATGGTGCTTTTGATGCAACAAATTTAGCTCCAAGTGTTTAAGATGAATGCACACTTCTTCCTGATTTGACACTGAGAAACCTCTATGTTCCTAGAAAAACTGACTCTTATTTACAGTATGTGTGATGTCATGTTTCACACCAGCAAAAGATATCACGATAATCAAAGCCCTGCTAGAACCTTGAGGCACAAAGCTATTTTGTTTAAAAGCTGACATTTTTTTCAAAGTAATCAGAACAAAATAAAATGATTCAATGCTAAATATGTTTTTGTCACAATATTCTTAAATATGAAAATTTTCCACACCCTCAGCTTTTTATGATGACGTCTGATTTTGTGTGGCATATTTGACAAATTTGTGAAAAGATCTTTTATTATTGTAAATCCTCATTTTTATTCTGTATTAAGTTCTTACTATCTGGCTTAATTTCCACAGTTTGGAAACAAAGCAGTGGCTCAAGTGGCCTGTGACATGTTCCAGCTGCTGATCTCTCACTGGGAACATCTCCAGAGGTTGGAACCCTCTCTGCCGAAGGAAATTATTGAGGTAGCATACATTAACTTCCATATATATGTATTTGTATACATAGGGATTTGGCAGCTTTTAGCAGAAATTGTGAATATGTACCCGTCAGTATTTTTATGAATTCTCCACATTCCTTGGCGTCATATCCTGTAAAGCACTCAGGTCTGACTCAGCTGATGAAAAGCTTTATGTCATCCAATTATCTTTCTCCTTATTTTGTCCCAACACAGATCTTTGTGGCCACAATAGCCTTTTTGTTGCCGGGCACAGAGCACTCAATAGTGGAAGCAGATAAAAAGGTACATGTTGGAAAGTGAGAGGACATGAAACGGCTTAGATCTAATGGCTTCTGATCTGTCATGTGTTGCTCATGAATTTCTGTACTGTCTGCTTGTTGGAATGGGCCATTTGCAGAGGAATGTGTCTGTCTCTGAATTGACCTTTTTTATCTTCTTTTCTTTCTATAAATATCCTCTGATTCAGTAGACATTTGTGCTGTATATTGAAAAGGTTAACATTAGGCTTCTTTGTTGCTTGTAACATTTGCAAAGGAAACTAAAAATATAATTATAAATTACAACATTTATCCCATCCAGTTTTTATTGAATGTTTTGTCGGCTTAAGATGCTGAGAACTAAATATTTTAATTAGTTATATTCTGCTAGTGAACGATGACTGTCGTTTTTCTGTATGGTACCAGCATTACCGATTTCGGGCTCCTGTGATGATAGTGTGTTTATTTTTTCTGAGCTGAATGAGGAACTTCTGCCTTCTGTCTTCCACTCCCAGTTGATGGTGTCACTGCTTCTCTGCCTGTTGGACTGGTGTATGGCTGTGCCCTTGAGTCTTCTGCTGGAACCCGTCACATCTTCAATGGAGGACCACAAGTCCCACAAGCCCCCAATATTGGACTACATCTACAGGGTGAGTATTTTAACTGTGGAGAATGGAAAATCGAAAGCGCCGGATTCCATCATTTAACTGATCTGAACAGGGATGCTTTTCTTATTTTGATATGGATTTTCATTGTTTTCTGGAACATTTGTAACCTTTGCCCACAGACAAACAACTTTGGCTTTGACACCTCCACCCCCACCGTGCCACATGTGCTTGTCGCTTTAATTAGACTCACCTCCATTGTGACCCTTTGACTACGCCTCATTAAACATTATAGTGGGATACGAGTACAGATTCACCCTCCAAAGTCAACACGGGATCAACATTGGATGAAAACTTTTACAATACCAGTCGCGTTTGTTTCAAACATGGAAAATATTCCACATCCATTCCACATTTCTGTTTCTTTTTCCTCTAACTCCTTAATTTATAGTCTGACCCTGAGGATGAGGGCCAGGCTTCAGGCACAAATGAATAAGGTATTATTCATTCCCTCCTGTCTGGGCAGATGCGGTCAACGGCAGATCTTTGTAAGGATGTCACCCTTGATAAGAAATGGTCCAATTATTCAAACAGGACCCATTGTCCAATTGATAAGCTCGGGCTCTAAACGCTTGTCCTGGAGATTTGAATGGAATATGTCTTAATATGAGAGAGACTACAGCTGCTATGAAAGCAAATACAATTAGCCATGATTGGTTGTCTATCGGCACACAAAAGGAACGGACTCTCTAGGTTCCATCTGAGGTGTGGCAATATCAGACCGAAATTTCTACATTTCCCAAGGCACGCTGGCTGCTAATTATGCTGTTTACCAAGCAGAGAACAGCTTCCCTGATGGAGAACATCTCCTTTTCCCCTTACTACCCATTGTCTGTGACAGAGTTTTTCATGCTTCGTCCTCCTGCCATCATTTCTGTGTACATGTATATTGAATATGTGAGCCGGTGCAAAATGTTGTTATTCATGCGTCTCCCTGAGGCATTCTCTTTTGCTCTAAAGGCAGCCCTGAACATGCAAACATCACGAAAGGGCTTCCTTTCATTCTGAAATGTAGAGAATAACAAGCAAAGTTGGTTCGGGGGACCATCAGCATGCATAGGGCTGTCAAATGCAACATTGCACTAGATTTGAGTTGTGTTCAAGCTTCTCCATCTGCTCTCCGTGCCTGCCTCAGCCGACAGCTGCACCATCAGTGCATGCATATGAGTGTGCGTGCGTGTGCACGTGCGTGCGCTTTTGTTCAGGAGACAGAGATGACAGTGATAGGTACATTGCGCTTAAGCGCACAAGCCTCTGCATTATTATTTGATTTAGTTGTGTGCATAGAGTACTCGTATCTCCATACAATATGTGCCCTTCTAACTACAGTAAACCTGTTTTACTGTGTGTTACCTTCCAGGAACTGTTGCTATGTGAGGTGCAGTCACTTAGTTGTCAGGCACAACCGTGGGTTTTCCCCCTCCCTTTCTACCTCTCCACCGAGGAAGCTCTTTGGGGCTTTGGTGTAGCAGCTGTTTGGTTCAGGTCTTTTCAGCATCAAGCCGCCAACCCCTCCCCCATGCACTCAGAGGTCTGCTTGGTAGAAGCATCCACATACTGTCTACATTGCCCCACACAATACTGTTTCACATGGCAGGGCCAGCTTTCGTCTCTGAGCGTCTCTTGGCCAAGTGTGAGCGTATGCGTGTGTACTGAATGGGATTAGCCTTTGCATGGCTTTACCCAAGTTGTTCCCGTCTGAATAAGAGGCGCTCTCATCTACATACATTAGGCACAGGTTTTCCCCCCTCAACAATTTCAGCTCCACTCAGATTATACAACATACAGGTGTGTTTGGTAAGCATGTGGGCAAGCACGATTGTTTGTGGTGAGAGCTGAGCACAAGGATAAAGTCTTAATTAAATCAAACAGTGTAAACCTGTCCAATGGCTGTAATCAACTGCCCCAGTGCGCCTTATCTAGCCCTGCCAACGGATGCTCTACCATCTGTTATGTAGATCGATACACTCGCATCACAGGAGAAATGGATTAGTGGCAATAAAGACCCTCTTTTCTTCACCCCCACCCCCCTCCCCACCCCTCCCACCCTTGCTATATGATGTGAATAGACCATATATTCCCCTTTCACATGTTCTGGGTCTTGTCTGTCAAGAGGAGGCCTGCAGGAGCATCCCTGTGCATTCTCTTGTGAAATACGGTCATATATGATAAGGTCCTGTCCTGTGTTAGATGTGACCAAATACAGTTAAGTCATTGAAGCGTCTCACGTTATTGCCTTGTACATTGAGGAGACGAGCACATGTCGTCCATACATCATAACGCCCTTTTCTCCTGTTGCTCAGGTGCTGCACTGCTGTGTGTCCGGCTCCAACTTGCACACCCAACAGAGCCACTATCTCCTCAGTTTGTCCGACTTGTCCAGTGATTATGACCTTATGCTGGGTCAGGTTAAAAGCTTTGAGCCACCACCCTCCCAGATGACCACTGACTTCGGCAACTTGCTCACCGTAGCTGAGGGTAAGGGCTTACGAGAGAGACCACTGCCATTGTCTTTTCTTTTCTTTTTTTTTGTCTACGTGCTCCGTGTTTATGGCTACATGATTCACTTACAACTCTTGTTTTATTAAGTGTTTAGTGATTGTGTATGTCTTGAGGTCAAAATATAAGAGGGAAAAAACAGGTCGCCAGCCTGTTAAAGGGACAAATGTACCACCATGCAGTCAGTTGTTCCTGCCATTTACTACATCACAACTGATGATTGTCCAAACCACCATCGCCCTGACCCAAAAAAAAGACATCCAGAAAAGGTTACAGTTAAAAGCAAACTCTAAGTAGCCCTTCCATTTGGAGCCTTTCCATTAGATGTCAATATCTTATTAAAAGTATGAAAAGAACATCAACCATTACAGGGAATGGAATGTTCTATTTAGTGCTCTGCCTAACAAGAAGACCCATTATGGGATTTAGATAAAAATGGAGAGTTTTTTTTTTTCCTTTCTTCTTCTTTTGACCTTGTGATTCCATTAGGCAACATAGTTGTCTCTCCACCTTGTGTCCTCAACTTCTAAAAGTCACCAAAGCCAAAATTACAAAGTGCAAATGTCTACTGAAACAATGCTGGATTTTTAAATGGTAGTTTTTGTTTTGAACATTTCACCGCATCCCAAGCTTTTCCCTTTTTTTTCACTTTTTCACAGCTGCACAGAGTCTTGGTTGAAATAACAAAACACTATCAAAAGGGCAAACCAAAGAGTGCCGGCCTAGTTATATTCATGCCCTCACCTCATATTGATCAAGTCACATCAAAGGGCCAGTGCATCTCTAATGCAGCTTGGCCTGCTCTCTAAAGAGCTTTCTCCACTTTGATGGGGGATGATGGTATTGATAGTACTGTCACAATGCAAAAGTGCATCTTCTTGTTTTTCCCACATCACTGTAGAATAAAACTCGGCATGCCTTTCACTTGGGAGTAAAAACCTGTGCATTTGCATAAATGCAATCCACAGAGTGTTGTATTCAGCAGCCTGCAGAGATGGTTGTTCTCATTAGCACTTGGCCAGTCTCAACGCTTATCCATTGTAAGAAGATTCAATGGTCTTTTCAAAGTTGTCTCATATGATTAGATGCTACCTACTTAGAGGTGTGCTGGCTAAGCTATTGTGCGAAATGAATAAACTAACCCTATTAGTAATCATGAATAAGATTTGGCTTTGTATAAAAAGAGCTAATAGAGATGATTGCATGTCTGCACACAAATGCGGAGCTTTTTAAATATGGCTGTCAAAGTCCACGTTGAACATGTCATAAAGAGACGTGGGCGTGCAGCTGTATTCCAAATCTGTCCTCTTTTTTGTTGTTGTTGTTGCAATTACTCACATTATACACATTCTCTCCAGTGTTTTCCTCTGGAAATTATGTCTAATTTAATCCCTTCTGCCTTCATTTCCTCCCAACAGAAAAGCGCCGTCGAAACATGGAGCTGATACCTCTGACAGCACGGATGGTCATGACTCACCTGGTCAACCATCTTGGCCATCACCCACTGAGCGGGGGGCCTGCTCTCCTGCACAGCCTCGTGAGCGAAAATCACGACAACCCATACGTGGAGTCGTCTGAGCTGTCCTCTGAGGTCTTTAAAAGCCCCAACCTCCAGCTCTTTGTCTTCAACGACAGCACGCTGGTGTCCTACCTCCAGATTCCTGCTGAAACACACACTGTTGGTCAGCCCCCTCACCCTTCCTCCCAAGTGCGTGTCATTGTCCGGGACATTTCTGGGAAGTACTCTTGGGATGGCACAATCCTATACTGCACCGCGCAGGAGGACACGGAAGTTTTAAATGCAGCTGATGTCCCGCTTCCAACCTCTGGCACGCACAGAAACCAGCCCACCTCTCCAGTTAAAGGACCAAGCAAAGGGTTTTTCTCCGACTCCCCCTCATACTGCTGTGAAGATGATGAGGTTGATGTTTTGGACAAGCTTTTGGAGAGCCTCAGCCACAGCAGCCCAGAATGTCTGCCTCACCCACAGCTCAGGCTCAATCAGCCAGCCCCGTCACCCCACGGCATGAACTTGGAGCACGAGAGCGCCATACTGGAGGCCATTCTTCGTCAGACTCAGCAGGAGGAGGAGCAAGTCAGAAGGTGGGATGCCGATGTAAGCTTTCGGGCTGCCTGGCAAAAGGAACCATCCCACCAGGAGCCAAAAGCTCCTTTCTACTTCTGTCGACTGCTCCTGAATGATCTTGGAATGAACTCTTGGGATCGCAGGTATTACAAACTGAATCTGACCATAGTCATTGCTCTTATTTTGCACTGAGAAAGAGAATGAAATAGGCAGGTGAAAATGAGGCTCCAAGAATTCGGCTAGAGATCAGCTCCTTTTTTTTAATTGCTCCTTGTAGGTCATTAGCAGTCCATCTATGAACCATATCTTAAATGTTACCAAATATTTTTAAGTTAAATATAAAGCAGTGGAAAAAAACATAGCTGTTGATAATAAATGTAGGTGCAGTAGTAATTAATATGAAAATGAATTAAGAATGAGTTGTTTTCAGTCAGCTTTGACTGGGTGCCTATTTTTTTTCTTACTTCGCCCCTCCATCGAGTTTGATCCTCCAAACACATGTTTGTGGGAGCGATCTGCGGTTGTTTATGGCATTTATCCCACCCATTCAGAAATGGGGTGATTTAGTTCTTGACATAGTTTTTCATTTAAAAGACCAGCTCTGCTGAAAAAAGGTTTCCGAGGACCACATTGTGATCTTTTTGGTTTCATTTAGAAGATTTGGGTTTTGTTGAAGAAACGTCTGACATTCCAGCATAAGAACATTTTCATTTGAAGCATGCTTTTATTGATGGAGGAATAAATCCTTACTCCAACCAACAACTTCTCAAGACAAATGTCAAGATTTTGAACTCTGGCCTGAAAGTCTAGAAAATGTGATGCTTTTGAATCACAGAGTCTAAGTAGTGTTGGGGAATGACCTTAAATGAGCAGTTCAAGTGAGAAGACGCACCAGTATCCCACACTTAAAGCTATTTTGTACTGAGTAATGGACTGAAATTTCTGAAAGCCATTTTAGGGCAGATCAGCAGTCATCTGAAATATTTAGTTGCATTTTTTGCTGCTTGACTTACCTGAAATGTTGAAAGCAAAGGTTTTCCCATGTCTACAGCTCACAGATAAGTGATATTGGATCTTTTTTTTTCTCTGTAAAAATATGACCAAGGAAAGCTTTTCCCCCATTTGTGGAAATTTTAACTTGCTTTAGATTATATTTACGTAGAAATGAAAGCATTTCTATTGGACCCAGTGGTTTGAAATATCATTTTTACAGCTGCTGGCTTCTTAGTACTGGAGAGTAAACCTGAAGGTACATCGGAGTCTGCAGAGTCTTAATCTCCTCTCCACGGGGTAAAAGTGCCCAGCTGTTTTCACTGAGGTCTACAGAGCCACATCTTTGAGGCACTGCCCTGTAAATTAAAAGCTTACACCTCTTAATGGTGATGGTTCAACACGCACACAGAAAAGAGGAGATTGTGTTTTGCACCTGTGTCATTTTTGCTTTTTTTTTTTTTTTTTTTAATAAAAACTGCGGAACAACTTTCAGCAGACTCTGCTCTGCCAGGCAAATTCCGAAATTGGGTTTTAAATGTCGTGTTGAATTATCGCACTTGACCATAATTTTCCTCTTCAAACAGGAAAAGCTTCCATTTGCTGAAGAAAAACTCTAAACTACTAAGAGAGTTGAAGAATTTGGACTCCAGGCAGTGGTAATGTTTGTTTGTTTTTTGTGTTTTTTTGCACTTTGTTTGGTTGACATGCAAGTGAGGAAGCAGTTGTCTGTAAATGTCTGGTCTTCGAGGTTGTCAAACAGCCACTTCATTCTTGTCGCAAACGTGTTTTGAGCCCATGTGAAAGTTTCTCCAGACATACCCCCCCCAACCTGAGCAACTCCAGCGGACCACAGCTCAGAACAACTACAATCAGTCTTCCAGTACTGTCCTTCACTTAGGTTCTCTTTTGTCCCAATCAATAACTACTCTAACACAGCTGGTGGCAAGGACTTATTAAAGAATGCCCTCAGGATTGAATCCTATTCTCTCAGATTAGCAGACTTGGGTGGGCAAATAATACCCTTTGAACCAAACGCACAGAAAACCACAAATCTACCCCAGCTCATCAGTTTTATGCCGTCAGTCAAAGGGCTGAATTAATGTCATCTAAGAGCAATGGTTGTGTCCTTTTTTGGAGGGGTTGAATCTAGCGTGGCCTTTTTTCCATCCTTAAAGATTTTGTTATGTTTTTTTTTATTTTTCTACATTTCTTTCTTTTTTACAGTTTAACTTGATTCATTTTTATCTTGATTGAAGTTCCAATTTCTCCCACAAAGTTTTCCACATTCTGTTACATTTGTGTTGCCGGATCCTTTGTTGTCTAACTCACGCTGTTGACTTTTTGCCTTCTTTTTTAAAAACTTTTTCCTATAGCCGTGAGACACACAAAATTGCTGTGTTCTACATTGGAGAGGGCCAAGAAGACAAATGCTCCATCTTGTCTAACAGCGCAGGCAGCCAGGCCTACGAAGACTTTGTATCCGGACTGGGATGGGAGGTAGACGTAACCGCACACTGGACGTGCATTTCTAGATTCACCTGCAGACTGCTCTAAACTTTCGAAACGGTTTCCCCCAGGTGGATCTGGCCACACACTGCGGCTTCATGGGGGGCCTCCAGAGGAATGGCAGCACGGGTCTTACGGCTCCTTACTATGCTACCTCCACAGTGGAAGTCATTTTCCACGTATCGACACGAATGCCATCTGACTCGGATGACAGCCTCACCAAAAAAGTAAAACGTCTATTTTTGCTCTTTGTTTTTTTGTTTTTTTCCCACCTGTCTCTTGAACAGTTCCAGTTTTAAATTCTTTCTGAATTATCAAACGTTATGAAATTATTACAAACCTCAAAGAAACTGGGTTTTTTTCCCCCTGCACATTTGATGCAGTGAAATGGCTACACAGCTGTGATTGTCCACAGCGGTGTGTTGTCGTAGCCTTCAGTTCTGTGTTAAGCTGCGATCAAAAGGTGTGACTCCAGAGTACGGGCATTGATTAGTGACCCTGGTCAGGAAGGCCTGAGGAGTAGAGAATCGCAGGCGCGTGAGTGAAGAGAGGGCATGTGCCGCTGTGGTAATGACTATGATTCTGCCAGTCCCTACCCCCCTCCCTGTGTGCTGTGACCAGGGCCTGGATTCAGCCATTAGCTCTCCCTGCAAGGGCAGGCGCCGGCCGGATGCCGGCAGGATCCTTTTATCCAATTCCTGCTGCCGCCACAGGAGCAATCGATTGGATTCTGCAGTGGGATTCTAAGCTGTAGTGCAGCAGTAGCAGTTAGCACGAAGAAATGAGCCGCAAAGCCCCTGCCCGCACTGCCAATCTTCTCATACAGTACCCTGCTGAGAAGGGAAATTCATCAGGCTCTCCTCATCCTAACCACAGCACTGCCCTCGACGGACTTTGTGCTTCTCCGTTCCATGAACACGCCACTCATTCCAAACACATCTGAACCCGTTCTAATGGCAGCAAAAAATGGTTTGAAGAAAGATCCTTACCTGAACTCACTAAATTGAAGCACTGTAGGAGTGGACCTGCCCATAGAGTAGTTTGGTGCCATTCCACTGCCATTCATTTGGCCACATACTCGTATAATTGCTCATGCTCACCTTGCATACATCTCTACACCAGCCACAATGCCAACAGAAATTGGCAAGCTAGCTGCTGGCGCAAATGCTTCAGAAAAAGAATGGGTGGCAAAGGGAGGAGAAAGCGGTATGAAGAATTGGTCTGAGAATTGGAATGAGAAACAGGCTTTGTCTGTGTCCAAGTAGGATGTTTCTCTGTCAATTTAAAAATAACACTTAGTCCAGCAGTCACCCACTTTGGTGCCTGTAACCATAGAAGCATACTGTGGGGAAGAGCCGGTTGGGGTAGCTCTCGCTGAGCAGATTGCCTGTTTGAAGATGATGGAAGGAGGGGCAAGAAAACGAACCCAAAAAAAAAAGGGAAAACCATGAATTCCTCAATCCAATTGTGGGTTTTAGGGCAGCACGAGCTGCAGCAGCAGTAGCAGCTGGCCTCAGTAATGCGGTTATAGAAACGACCTGCAGGGCTGGGGTCAGGCCATGTAGACTTATGTGTATGTGTGTGAAAGAGAGGGAGATAGACGGGTGCCTTAGCTATCACACTCACCCCCAGGCATTACAGCTTAACTGGGCTGCTGCAGGTTGTTTTTATAAAGAGTCGCTTTTGTTCAGAGGTTCTCTGGTTTTCCGTTTCCTTGTGTGTAAAGCCTATTGGCTGGGTGGGAGGTCAAAGAGGGCTAATTGGACAAGAGCCTTTGACTTGAATCACATTTTATTAAAGAAGTCTCAAACATTTGGATGTGATTAACAAGGGGGTAAATAGATTGCTACAGAAGATGATTGACCAGAGCATAAGCATCCTCATTAAATTTGTCATTCAGCTCATCCACATGCTAATATTTTAACCCAAATTAACATCCCAGTGTTGATTGTGTACAGCAAATGCATATTCAACATTTTCTCTGAAATTGTCCCAGTGACTGACCTGCTTGGTACCTGCTGATCCTTGGACAGACAGACTGAACTGGCAAGCTTCAGTAATCAGCATGCCGTGGATTTGTTTAAGATTACTGTATTAGCATAATTAAGGGCTTATAATAGAATGTGCTAATTGCATTTTTTGGTGGCAGGGGCATGTTTCTTAATGGCTCATTAGGCCAATAGTACATGGGCAGATGTTGTCTTCTGGGGAGAGGCCTACTTCTCAATGTCCAAGATACCCCGACAATTAAAAGGGGTGTGTGATTCGACATCACCGGACTACCGGCTAACCGGTAAATTTGTGGTGTCGGGGAGTATAATGCAAGCGTTTTCATCTGTTTTACTTTGGAAAAGGGAAACCTGTTTACCTTTTTTAAACAAGCTCGAGCCAATTTCCTGTCATCTAAGTGCATCTTCTTGTCCTGCCCAGTTTCATTTGTATTTTTGAATAGAGTGGAAATGGGAGGCAATTTAATGTCTGATGGGAAAGGTTAATTGGATTTGAATTACTTCATTTTATTAAAAAAAGAAAAAAACTCAATTTTGTCTATTTTGCGTTTGCCATTTGAATTTCAAATGGAAAAAAAAAGAAAATACAGAGAGAGTTATGTTCAGAACAAGCACACAGACCAGCTGTGGTTTTCAAACAAACTTTGGAATTAGATGTAAACTGTCACTTTCCTCTTCACCTGCTGGCTAAAGTAATGGAAACTGGTTTGCTTTTTGTGACACCTTCACTAGCCGTGGTTACTCATTAAAAATTAAGAAAAAATGTCAAACTTTAATCAAATGTATTGCCTTGTATGTGTCCCTTATGCCTGGTTTAAGTTTGTAGTTTGCTGCCGGTGATGGAGGCTTAAAGTGCAGACTGGATAGATCTAGTGTCATGTTATAATCCACTTAAAATGTGTTCCTGTCAACATCGCCACTGCAGTGGAAATTACATGCACTTGCAAGGCCCTTGATTAGGCTGATTTTGTTTGGCAGCTGCGTCACCTGGGCAATGATGAGGTGCACATCGTTTGGTCTGAGCACACCAGGGACTATCGTCGTGGCATCATCCCAACTGACTTTGGAGACGTGCTAATTATCATCTATCCTATGAAGAACCACATGTATTTCATCCAGATCATGAAGAAACCCCAGGTAAAAACAGTGCAGATTGAGAATTTTCTTTAGACTATATGTTTTTTTATTTATTTGTGTCGTGGCTCACATTTTCACATGTCTCCGTAGGTAAAGTTTCGGTTTAGGCTTTGCTCTTGCTCATGCTGGTTCACTCTGATGGCTTACTGATGCACATAATGGAAGGACAGGATCATTAATTCCACCTCTACTTTCCCTGCTGTGACAAGCCAAATTGTACGTCATGAAAAAGGACTGTCATCAACTGCATATGGACAGCATGTCATTGTGTTGATTTATCAGCTCTTTTTATGAGTTAATGCAGTCCCTCGTACTTGCTTCCCTGTTCAGACTTCGCAGTGATTTTTTTTTTAAATTCTTTATTATAGGTTATTTCTGCTTTTGCTTTTTCTCTCTGAAGGCTCACAGTTCCACCCCTACTCCAGCAGTGCATTATTACCCACACTGTGGGTATGTGCTCTCAGAAATGGCTACTGCCATTTGTTGGCTAGCTTTAATCTTGGTTGCTCTGTAGCCCTGCACACTATGTGTGGCCTCCCAGAGGACAGTGAAAATTCTTTGCCTGTGATGGCTTGCTTTAGATGTGCAGATATATCCAGGATTCTTTCAACATGCATGATTTTAAAACTGTTCAAAGCCCAATCTGCTCGGTTTTGTTTTTTCAGCATTAAACATTTAAAAAGATTAAATAGATGATAGAAAAAAATAAATTGCTAAAAAAAATCAACTTAGTATGGTTATTTGTTTAGTTTATAGTGTTTGTCTGGTCTGGGTTCTTATCAAGAAATGATTGTTATTGCTTCAGAGGGCTGTTTTAACATGTTTTTATTATTAGTTACTTATTGTTTTATAGCAGTTCTTATTGCCAGCAGGAACTATCTGTGGCACGTATTTATCGTAATCTGTTTGGATCAAATAATGATATCTATTATGGATTTAGACTAATTTTAGTTAATAGTTAAGCAAAACAAGACAGGCGTGTTCTACTCTATTTTTTTTTTTTTTTTTTTTTTTTTTTTTTTTACGCTTGCCTTTTGTACAAGCCAGCAAGATGTTCAAAACGATGCCCACTTCAGAGAGCCTGTTAAACCATCTGAGTTTTTCCTTTGTTTGGTGACTTGCGCTCCCTGAACTGCCAAGTTGGAGACAGCCGGACCTTTTGGAAAGACTTTGACATTCACGTCAACTTCCAGGTCAATGACTATTGAGCTTCAATGATTAAGGGCCCTCTTCCAATATGCATGAACAGACGCATGTACCCACACACGCGCATTCTGTCGCTAAATTTCATATTGCTCCTTTGTATTTGTTCAGCAGTTCAGTATGAGTCCATTGTGGAGTATTGATTGTCATTTTAATTTCATTTACCTAACTTTGATTCACATTATATATGTGTGGTTGTCAAGCAAAGTTAAGACAAATCCAATTTCAACCCAAACCTTTTTCCTTAGATGGAAGAACTATTTCAAAACAAGAACCTGAAGATTTTTAATCAACACATTTTCAACTCATAAGCACAGCAATGGAGCTCAAATTAACTTAAGATCGTGTCTAAATGTTGTCTTTTTATTGCTTCAGCTCTTCTTTCCCTCTCTTTCTCTGAACTTCCCAGGTTCCTTTCTTTGGACCTTTATTTAATGGCGCCATCATCACAGGAACCCTGTTGCCAAGCTTGGTACGGGCCACCTGTATCAATGCCAGCAGAGCTGTCAAGTCCCGGCTGACTCTCTACCAGAGCTTGTATCCTTTACACCGCAATGGTCTGCTTCATTTACCCCGCCCTATCCCATGTAGTGATCGCTCATCACAGGATTATAAATTGTACCACTGATTACTCATACGGCTGAAATCACAAGGATTACAAACAAACATTGTGTCATATTTATTTACATGATCCCAGTAGATGTAAAAAATCTCTGAGCTTTCATTTCTCGTGGTCAAAACCCCTTCTGGGTAAATTCAGGGAGACATGTGACGTGCATGTCATGTCAGCCGGCGTACACAGCTGAGTGCTGCCACTGATCTTTATGGGCTACCTGATTTGCATGTAACTATTTCACCAGCGTTGTTTCACAGCCTGCAGCAGAATGGGAGGCTGTGGGGCTGTTGTGGGTAAGAGCACTGATAATGTGTCATCATCTATCACTACTATTTTATGGAGGGAAAGGACAGCCAAAATAAAAGCAGCATGTACAAATACATATAAGTGCACACACCCACACACACACCGTTGCTTGAGCCCTTCCACCCATCCCACAGTGTGCCGTTAAGAGCCTGACTCCAGCTGTAGTTGTCAGTTGGTTTAAAGAGAGTGTAATTACCAATGGAGATGAATTAGCATGTGAATGCCAGCAGCAAAGAGGGGTGGGGTGTGGGGGGGGTATTGGTGAGGGGTGAAATTTGGGGGTGGCCCCTTGAGGGGGGAAACCTGATCTCCCTTAACACCCAGCTCCTCCTCGGACAGAATGTACAGCACCGCCTTACCAGAACCACGCTGTCCCTCTGGCCGTTGCTATAGAAACCCCCCCCCCCATCAAGGATGATTAATTTGAGCACAAGACTAGAATCTGTTGTTTTTAAGATATTGGCATATTTAGATTTCAAAACTACTTTTTTAGTTAGTTACATCAAGTGTCATCAAGTCTGTGGGCTGTAGACTATTGCAGCACATGATTTTAGCCTTCGGTCACACACAGAGGCTTGTGTGTAAGTATGCATCCATCTGTATGTCTTTCACAATGCATCACATCGCCAGGCCCCCCAACCCAATATCGGTCTGTGTCTGTTTGTCCCTTGGGGCATCCTGAGTGACAGATGTCTGTTACCCAACGCCAAGTGAATTAGCCCAGTGTGACTGTCAGTGCCAGAGAGGGGGGCAGCCATAGGCCTGCCTGCCCCTGTTAGCCTAAGGGAGTGGGGGAGTTGACGGAGAGGGAGGCGAGGAGCAGGCCTGCACTGGGCCACAAAGACTCACCTGGCATTCCTTAGCAGAGGAGCAGTCGGCACAAAGGCTCGATCTATGAGAGGAGATAAGCACTGCCTCTGGAGCTCTGTCACTGATAGGCTGCCAGGCCTCACACACACACTCCAAAAGAGGAGATGAACGACTGTGCCAAGGCAAGCACTCTGCCAGTATCAGTGTCTGCTGTTTGTCTGCTGAGCGAGAATGCTTGGGATGATGGTGACATTGTTTAAACGGAGCGAATAAGCAAAATGTTGGGTGTCATATTCATTTATCTTAAGAGAGCTGGTTTCACTGGATATCACGAATGAAACGGGGTCCAGCGAGAGAGCGAGCTTTAAATGAAATGATGTTTCTCTTTTAGATGCTTTGATCATTTGATTATCCTTTGCGTTACTCCAGCCTTTGGCATTTTTTCCTCTCAAGTCTTTTCCTTTGGCCTCTAAGGATATGCAGCTCTTTATCTCTCTCAGGATGAAACAATGACCCAGCCGTTTTTTTCCCCAGAATGTTTTTTGTGCAAGATGAAAATACTCATCCTTAGTTTACCCCTTCACAATGCCTTAACAATCCACAGCCTACTCTCTGCCTGTGAGGCCACTCTCCAAGGTAATTAGTTGAATATTTCTTCAAAGAGAAGCTATATGACCCCTGTGTGTCCAGATAAAAGGCCAGTATGGCTCTGTAGCCCCCTCTCTCCCTCTGTCACAAGGCTCGAGAGGACTCCAGCTGTCTGCTGCAATGTTCACAGAATCTCTCAAGCTAATAGGATTTGATATTGAAAAATGACCACCAGCAACATGGTAGGAAAATACACACAGATGGACAACAGGAGTGTTTCAGATGGAAGCTCCTCTTTCTGTCTTTCCCCATTATGCCCTGTGTCTGTCCCTGTTTCCCTTTCCTCTCCCACTGATTTGTTAAATCTGCACTGTTGCATATGCTTTCTTGTGTTGTGTACAACCCTCAGTGTCGGTTATAATTTGTGTCAGTCTCCCCTGTCAGGACACATTTGCCTCGTACTGTAGTCATCATATCACAAGCCTCTTAGAGACAACTCATAATGTATCATTTATTATTTATATGCCTGATAGTAAATGCAGCTGGTCTGGCACTGTGGTCTGAGTGTATTGTCTGCAAATTACCCCCCACTTCCTCCACAGCTGCATTGTCAACACTTAGGACCACAAAATAGGCATTCTAATGCTACTCTTTTTTTCAAATATGTACATAAGTGATTGTCATTTTTCACCCATTAATCTGATCACTCCAATTTGAAAAAGTATGGTATATTTTGGCCTGAAAAGGATGATGAGTTTGTTTTTGTCACCTGAACCCAGAATGTCACTGAAGGGCCTGGCTGTCCTATTCCATTTACGGTATGAAGAAGGTCCTTCATACTGTCAGTGTAGAATAATGTCCTCATCCAGAAAGTTGGATTCATTTCTCTCTTCAACAAGCACTTGAGTTTGATGTATCGTCCATCACTCTTTGTGATGGGGATATTGTTAAAGGTAAAAACGGTGTGTGTGTTTGGGAGATGGCAAGTTACTAATAGGTGAGACAATACGAAACTGACCTTGATTCGGAGACATAGCCTCCCTACTGGACAGAATCAATAGCCTTTGCACACTGCCCTCAGTACCCATCCTCTGCTCTGACACACAAGTAAACACACACACACACATCCATCTCTAGGCAGCAATCAATAACCATAATCTGTTTCTGCCCATCGCCAGTCATGCGAGCCAGGCTTTTAGGTGACGTGTGTGTGTGTGTGAGACTGTGTGTTGTAGCAGAAAGCAGAGAGGGAGGTTTGATCCTTTCATTGGAACCCAGAAAGCTGCAGATGTCTGTCATGTTCCCCCACAGGCTCGCGTGAGCATATCTACTGTCCCCCAGGTCCATCAGCTAAAACAAGATGTACAGAATATTAAGAGCTGTAAAGTTAAAACCTAAAGGATATGATATCCTGCCCACACTGCTTTGTGTGCATCCCCAGACTCCCCACAATTATTACAGTCACTGCATTGACAATGACATATTCTCACACCCCTTCTCAGCAAGTTATTGTCCCACCCTGTCTTTGTCTGGCCAGAGCATGTTCTTTTGTGTACTGTAAGATTCTTCACCTAGCAGAGATGAAAGTGGGCCTGTATGCATGATAGGGTGTCATGAATAGGATCTGCCATGTTAGTGTTGTCTCACATGAATTATTTAGCATCGTTGATAGGTCTAATTTGCCAGCTGTTGTGCCATAACTGTCAGCAGCCTCATAGATAATACTCAGCAGTCTATATCACTATGGAACACAGTGCTTGACTGGGCACAGTGAGACACCAAGCCAGTCATTATATCCTGGATTCATGTAATGCTCTTAGCTGATGTGAATATATCTAGCCAACTTCCTGTTCAGTGGGAGCAGAACTGACCAATAAAAAATGTATTTCTTACCTCGGAAAAATACTGTCACCCGGACTTGTTCAGCAGTTTATATTAATTGTCTGGAGATTTTTCTTGGTAGGAGCCTTTTTTAGCATTTTGCTGAGGTGAGTAGGTTTTTTTGGATTGGGTAGGATGCTATTTTTGCGTCGAAGTTGGGAGGGCTGGTTTGGGTGTAGGCAGGCACTGGCTTTGATAGTGTGCATGAGAGTTTATGCATTATTTGGGGTTTACTTGGAGAGGAGGGGTCTGTCCCCCTCTGAATGTTTTAACCTAATCCCATTATCAGTGTAGCGCACTGCCTCCCATCTCTTTCCCTCCTTATCCCTGCCCCCCCCCCCCCCCCCCCCCCATCCCCCCCCTCCCCCCCCCCCCCCCCCCCCCCCCCTCCCATCCCTCTCTCCAGCTGACCAGCTGTTCCTGCCGGGACTCACGACAATGTCCGATGTGTTCAGATCACTGAGTACCCCCCTCTTCCAACGCACACGCACACACAAATGAACCGAGCACAGACCATGCACAGCCAAAGCAAATTGCCAAGCCCAATGCTGGAGCGTAGGAAGGCCTAAAGGGAGGAGGGTGTGAGTTTGGGTAGAAAGGAGGGGGGGTTAGTTTTGACGGTATGGAGGGGGCAAGCACAGGCCTGTCAAACCAAGAGCCCTGACTCAGGAGGCAGCCCGGCTCGGATGGCATATGGCGTCTAGCTTCATACAACATGCAAAAGTATTCTCTCCCCCAGCCCCTCTCATCTACTCCCCCCCGTCCCTGTCTCCCTCTCCTGCTGCTAATGCAAAATGACTCATAGCATTACTCTTTTTTTTTTTTTCTCCCCCGCCCCCCCCCCCCCCCACATTAGTTCCTCCTCCTCTTGCCACCCAGCCTGTAACAAAAGGCATCCACTGCATGGCACCCACACCCTGAAAAGCCCTCGAGGCCCAGCCCAGCCTGCTCTCTGGGGTCTGAGCTTCGTGGGGACCGCCCCTTTCTAACACAGGTAGGCAGGCGTGGAACCAAAAAAGCGACAGCAGGACCCCAGAGCCCCGGCTGGGCCGGCGCGCACACACTGCTGGTGTCAGACTGGTGTGCGCGTCAGTGAATTTCAGTTTTTGTTGTTGAGTTGACAGAGTTTACAGAGATTTCTGTTTGTAGTTGCAGTGTGAAACCATCATATTTTGTATATTCTGACGTGTTTCTGTATTTCAATATGTTTTCAATATTTTGTGGCAAAAATGTTTTTTATTGGTTTCATTTATTTTTATCATATATTTGATCATTCTTAGATTTTACTCTGCTTTTATGAGAAGATTGGTTACAAAAAGATATAAATACAGTATATACGACTACCCATTAAGTTATTAACTATTAGTCATGAAAACAGAAAATCCTGGAATACCCCAAAGAATTTCATGGGTGTGTGAATTATTTTT